ACAACCCAAGTTGGAAACACCTTGGTTTAAAGCAGTGTTTCTCAACTTTTTTTTTCATTATTGCTCCCCTGAGGAGGCTTTTTTAGACCTTTTGTTTCCTAATTGTCACTCCTCCTGACATTTTGATAACAGATATAGTGTATATCTGTGCTTTATATATTAAAAAGAGTAGGAGCTGGCCCTGTGGCTGAGTGGTTAAGTTCGCACGCTCCGCTGCAGGCAGCCCAGTGTTTCATTGGTTCGAATCCTGGGCGTGGACATGGCACTGCTCATCAAACCACGCTGAGGCAGCGTCCCACATGCCACAACCAGAAGGACCCACAACTAAAATATATAACTGTGTACTGGGGGGCTTTGGGGAGAAAAAGGAAAAAAATAAAATCTTAAAAAAAAAAGAGTAAGTTTTTTTGCCTTCCAAGAACCAATTTCTGCTCCTTGGGGGCAATATTACCCCTGTTGAGAATGTATTGGAGCCGTCATACTCATTTTCTGAGCCGCCTTTACGCACACTGTTCCCTCATCCAATGAAATAGTATTAGTCCCATTCTGCAGATGAATAAGCCAAGGCTGAGAGGTTACTTTAATTTTTGAAGATTGAAGTGGCTGGTAAATGGATGGGGAATCCAGAGACCTACTGAGATCCTAGCTCAGCTTCTTAATGATCTTCTCCAAAGCTTCGTTTCCTCACATGGAAACTGGTGGGATTGGTCCAAAGAAGGGCTCGCTAACCCGCAGGGGTTTTGTTTCTTTGTCCCATTTGACCTCATAATAACAAACTTTGATACAGCATATGCGAGACGTCAGGCTTCAATCTATGCCCTTTACATATATTAACTAATAGAATCCTCCTCACAATAACCTAAGAAGGAGATGCCATTATTACTTTCTCTCTACAGATGAAGGAATTGAGGCACAGAGAGATGGGGTGACTTGCCCAAGGTCACACAGGTAGTAAGTGGCACAGCTAGGATTTGAACTTAGGAGTCTGATTGCCAGAGTATCTGCTTTTAACCATGTACTTTAAAAGAAAACTTTTTATCTCCACCAAAAGTAGAAAATCAGTATCACCAGTAAACAGAAGGAAACAAAAAAATAAAGTGAAAAAACTTGTTCTAACATTCTAGCTAGATACTATCACCTGCTCCCAATTCTGAGCTGGAGGCCTGCTCTTTCTTTGTTAAAGAAAAGACAAGACAAGATAAGCAGAGATAGAGAGGTGTTAAAGGGCTTCTGGCAGCAAAATGAGACTTTCTCCTGGAATAGTCAGAAGTGTTGAGAGGGAATTGAAAAGAGAATAGCTTTCATGTGGGCACCCGCGCTTTCCCGCTAATTGGTATACCGTCTAAAATAAACCAAGATGGGATGGTCCCTTGTCTGGGCGTTGTAGGAGTGCCTGAACATGCCAGCCGAGGAAGGGAGACAACGCCAGCCAATTCCAGCGTGGAGGTGCGGCCCCGGGCCACCCACGCCTCTGGAAGGCAGCCGGCAGCGTCCGCGCGGAGAGGGGCAGCCAGGGGTGGCACCACGCGAGGGCCCGTCCCAGGCGCGAGCGACTTCGGCCGCCGCTTTCCCGCCCCGGCCTGGCTCTCCAGGTAACTGTCTTACGCCCATGCGGTCCTCGCAGACCTGTCACAGTTCACCCTGCGCCTGGAGTTTACCGTTTCTTCCTACTTCAGGCTCCTCTGTCCAAATGCTGCCTTGGGCATCCTCTTCGCCTGGGGGCAGCGCCGCCTCGGCCCTGCGGAGATGTGCAGGCGTGATATCGTGGAAGGCTGTGAATAAGTAAACAATAAGCAGCCAGAAGTGGCCTGTTTCCCACACGATACCCGGGGAAGGGTCCAATTCCCCCTACCCGTGCTCTGGGGAGAGTCCTGGCCAGGGTGCCAGAGCATTTATTATTTAGTGCTTTTATTGTACCTGTCCCAGGTTAGGTACTGTTCCAAGCAAGTCCAGTCCCACCCTTTATCTGTACAACAGCAAAAGCTGAGGGGCACAACAGGTGAGTCGAAGTGAGAAAATTAAAGGTGCATGCCCTTTTTTTCTCCCATAGCTTGGCTATGTGACCTTGGCCAAGCATCAGAACCTCTCTGAGCCTCTGGGCTCGAATCCTGGTTCTGTTGCTCCCTAGCCAGTAGAACGTATGCAAGTGATCTAACTTCTCTGGGCCTTGAGCTTCTTATCTATGAAATGGAGACAAGAGCAGAACCTCTGCATGTGGCTGCTGGGATGATGAGTGACATATGTGTAAAGCACAGTTCCTGTGTGACCCAGTGTGGATCTCCGCTGTGATATTCTTTAATGGTGGTGGTGATCTTTTTTAACGAGCCCCTGTTCTGTGCCAGGGACTCCACGTACATTTTCTCTAATCATCACGTCTCTGATGTAATCCCTACTTTCCTCAGTAGGAAGACTGAGGCTCAGTGAGATCTAGTGACATCCCCAAGGTCACAGAGACACATCATGGCAGAACTAGAATTCAAACCTAAATCTTGCCCTGTTCTAAAATTCTTTTTAAATTGGGTCATAATTTTCTTTCCAGCTATAAAATGGAAATAATAATTTCTGCCGCTTAGGTCTACTGTTAGGATTAAATAAGATCAAGTTTGTGAAGAGGCCTCTATTGATGCTTGCTCTAGCTCAGCTCAACTTAGCTTCTCATTCCCCAGGGTAATTACTTAAGCATAGGCCTTTCATTTTCATAGTAAGGAGGCTGTGGACCTCCTCTTAGTCTCTGGGAGGCAGTATTATCTGATGGCCATGGGAGGGGCTGAAAGTATTAGATCAAAATCAGAACTGCCAGGGTTCCTTCCCACGCCCCAACCCTGACCTGCTGAGGCTGCTTTCATCTTCTGGGTTTTCTGGGCCTCTCAGGTGTCCCACCCACCCCACGATGATTGGGAGCACATAACCCTTTTCTCCCTTTCCCAGGGTCAGTACAAAACTGCATTTGATAACATCTGACATCTCCAGCTTTGAACTTTAGGTAGAGGGAGACCTCATGGTTATTCAGCTGTTGTGAAGTTTGTTTCCCCCTGCCTCCAACAAATGATGTCCTGTGGTAGAAGTGCGGCCCTGGCAAAGAGGGTGCATACATCACCTCTCCTAATGGCTTGCCTTGCAGTGAGCAGGCCTGGTGCAGTCCGCCCTCCTGCATAATGTATGAGCCCATGGTAGGAACAGAACACCAGCAGCAGTGAGAGTGACCACTGCAGGTCACGGACGTGGCCAGAGGCCTTGCCAAGGCTGACGTCTCTCTGTTGGCAGGAGCTGAGGAGAGGGAGGGAGTATGTGTCACCTGAGGCCTTTCCTGGTGCTGAGGCGGGAACTGGCCTCATCTTTGCCCTCAGGATTCTGCAGGGAAGCTAGGGATAGATAAGAAGACACCCCCCAAGAAGACAGTCTGACCCTGCCTTAGAATCAACAATGGTGACATTGGGGACAGCTAGACTCCTGTTTTCTGGGCTTGAAGTCCCCTCTGAGAGGGTTGGGGGTGGCAGAGGAGGTGGCTGGAACCCTCTCAGTGTGGCTGAAGGTCAGAGAGGGGATTTGAGAACCAGGGACACAGACTCTGGCAATTTCTCTGGTTGCCTCATGGTACAGGAAATCCCCAGGGGCGGCAGCTGTAGCGAGGAACACTGGGGTGGAGAACATGGACAAAAGTAGGTACAGGGTGACACTGCTTTCAGGGGAACGTGCCAGGATGCAGCAATCGTGTATGAAGTCTGTCGCCTCTGCAGGGGATGTGTGCTTACATGAGTGTGCAAGTGTGTGTGTAGACCCAAAAAGGTCTAGAATGGAAGAGGGAGGTGTGAGTGCCTTGACAGCCAAGAGAACCAGAGCATCTGGAGAACAAGACTTCATTGGTGGAGAGAGTTGGATTTGACTCATTCATATAATCAGTGAGTTCTCACTGGAGGCCCCCAAGGCCAGGCCAACTGCTAGGGCTTGGGACATGGAGATGAATCAGACCCAGGCACTCCCAGTCTAATTGGGGAGCCAGGCACCAAAGCAGAGAACTCAAATACCTTGTGATAAGTGCTAGAACAGCCCCAAACAGCCACCAGTGTTTGAGGTTGGCAGGAAGACCTCCCTGACGCAAAATTGAGCAGAAGCTTGAAGGATGAGGAAGGAGTTCATCAGGGAGGAAATGGGAAGGGTGTTCTGAGAAGAGGGTACAGCATCTGCAAAGGTGTGGAGCTGTGAAACTGTGTGCACTGGTTCAAGAACCTGGAACAGACCCTACGGGGGAAACTTGAAAGAGCTGATGGGGCACAAAACAATGTTGTTTGTTTACATATTATCTAATCCCCCTCCCCCAGGGGAATTTAAGCAGGAAATTTGTCTGCCTTATTCTCTGCTAAAGACCCAGAGCCTAGAGCAGTGCTTGGCACCCAGTGGGACATTTTGTGAATGAATAAATGGAAGATACGTGAGCCGGGGGCCGATTGTGTTGACAGTCGGCTGAGGCATTTGGGCTTTATCCTGGAGTCAGTGGGGAGCCTTTGGGGGTTTAAAAATTATAAGAGGAACAAGATCTGATGTGGGTGGGAGGAAATCGCTTTGACAGTGATGTGAAGGATGAAGAGACCAGATGATGAAGTCCTAAATTAGGGCACTGTCAATAAAAATGAGTGGGGTTGGGTTGAAAAAATATTGAGGATAATTCCGTACAATTAACAAGTAGCTTTGATTTTTACACTATCCTTGTGAGGCAGCCACTTCTCCGTTTTACAGATGAGGAAATGGACTCAGCGAGGCTCAGTGATTTGGCCGAAGTCACACAGCAAGTTGGTGGTGTAGCCCGGGAGTTGAGTCTTCCCTTTGTAGCACCGCAGGACCCAGCATAGGATGAGGATCCGACTCAGGCGGTGGCGGCGGGAATTAATTCGCCATTTCCGTTCAGTAAGTGAGGGAATGTCCGGCAGACCGCGACGTATAAGAGCTAGCGGCCCCGGGGGATCCGGCAAGGGAAGCGAGGCGAGGAGAAGGAGGTATGGGTCTCGGCGGCCGCCGTAGGAGCCGCGCTCTGATCCCCATGGCAACAGTGAGAAGCAGAGGGAGGTTTCTGGTTGGAGCAGTCTCCGCGGCCGAGCGGACCCAGCTCGGCGCAGAATCCGTGAACCGCCCACGGCCTCGAGGGTGAGGTGATGGGGCTGGGTCGCCGGAGGGAGCCTAGAGTGTGGGGACAGCGGCGGGGCGTGGCCTGGGTCGGGCTGGCGCGTGCGAGGGAGGCGTCGCCCGGAATCTCCCGACCCCCGACCCGCACTTTCCCGACCAGGGGCCATCTTTGGGCCTCGGTTTCCCCAGACGGGAAATAGGAGAAGGGTGGGCAGCGCAGTGCAATGGCCCCTCCCAGCCTCTGAGGTGCAGGACGTTCTCTCCTCTGCAGCTCCTGAACTGACCTGCGCTGTCCTGCCCCATGGACGTGAGTCCCAGGCCCCTACCGCTCTCAGGAGCCGCCCCTTCAGCGCCCTAAACTCACCCTGAGTGTGCCTGCCTTCGAGCCGAGCCCAGACTGGAGAGGGGGCTCTTTACCCAACACAGACCCTTCCAGCTCAGGACAAGAGCTGGCAGACAGTGCCAAGATGGACTTCCCACGGGAGGGCACATTCCCGCCTTTCCTGGCAAGATGAGGAGTGTGCCAAGTAATCAAGGGGAAAAGGCATTCCAGGCAGAGGGAGCAGCACGGGCGGAGACCTGGGGGTGAGGTAGAGGATAGGGTAGTTGGGGAACTGCCGGGACTTCACTATGGCTAGAGTGGAGAGAGGGAGGGGGAGAGAGGTAGTCGGGGCTAGTGTGGGGCCTTTGTCACTGAGATAAGTTGGGACTGAGTTGGGAGAGCCATTGATGGATTGTAAGGAAGGGAGGGATACACAAGGACAAATGGCGTGGAAGGGGGCAAAATTGCAGGTTGGAAGATAGAGGCCAGTAATATGGACTGAAGATGGTAAAGTAGTGGCAGTGGAATTAGAGACAATAGACCCGGTCAGAGAGGCGTTCTGAAAGGAAGATCAAAAAGTGTGGGAAGAGTTTAGAATGACCAACAGGTCCTTGATGGTGCTGCAATGGAGATGACAGGGAAAAAGGCAGGTTTGGAGGACAAGGTAGTGTAGTCCCAGGAATCTCTCCCCACCATGTGGTGGCTGTTCCTCCCCTTTTCCTAGCCACCTCCGTGTCCCTCCTGGTATTTCTGTGTTCCTGCAGTCCCTCCCCACCGGGTCCTTGTCACCCCTTCCTCCTGTGCTCATCCAGGCCTCCTCTAGCCCCTGGAATCCAACCCCGGCTCCTGTCAGCACTCCTCCCCTGCTGCTCCCCATCCCTGCCATCGTCTTCATCGCTGTGGGCATCTATTTGTCGCTGCTGGGCCTAGTGCTGCTGACTAGGCACTGCCTGCTGGTGAGGGGCCTGGTGGTGGTGGGGTGGCTGAAGGGTGGGCTCTAGGAAAGAGGAACCCAGTCAATCTGCCCCTCATCTGCAGGCTCTTACCCTGGGGCTCCTTTGCCATTTAGTCCCCACATCTGTCCCTTTTGTGGGACCAGGAAGTCCCTCCTCTCTTGTCCCTAGCTGAACCTTCTCCTGCCTCTCTCCCAAAAACCGAGTCTTGGCTGTCCCTCCCTGCTGCCTCTCCCGGATCTTGAGCCCTGCCGTCTCCTAGGCCCAGGGCTGCTGCACAGCCTGCAGCTCCCCCTGCAGGAAGCAAGGTGTCTCTGGGCCCCAAGACTGTTGCTGGACCTGTGCAGAAGCCTGTGACTTCCCTCTGCCTGGCCCAGCCCACTGCCTGGATGCCTGCTGCCTCCAGCCCACCGAAGCTGTGAGTTCCCACCCTCTCCCCTGACCCCCTGAGCCCTGATCTAGGCCCATCGGTGCATGCATTTTTTTGTTCAACAATTTTATTACTGAGTACCTACTCTAGGCCAGGCACAGTTCCACATACAGGGTCAGGTGGAGTCAGCCAAAAACAGCAGAAACAACATATCAGATACTTTCTGGTGATAAAAGCTACTTGGAGAAAAGAAAATAGGTTGACAGCTGGAGAAAGTAGGTGTGTAACATGTAGGGCACATAATCAATTTTGAAAATAGTAGTTAAGAAAAAAGACAGAGCCCCTTCTGCTCGTTGATGTGTGCTGTGTTCCAGAGACTCTGCCACTTTATTGACATTATTATTATTATTATTATTTAATATTTTATTCTTCCCTTTTCTCTCCAAAGCCCCCAGTACATAGTTGTATATTTTAGTTGTGGGTCCTTCTAGTTGTGGCATGTGGGACGCCGCCTCAGTGTGGCCTGATGAGCGGTGCCATGTCCGCGCCTGGGATCCGAACCAGTGAAACACTGGGCCGCCAAAGCGGAGCGTACGAACTTAGCTGCTCTGCCACGGGGCCGGCCCCTGACATTATTATTTTTTTCAACAACCCTGAGAGCTGGGTATTTTTAAAAACCTATATATGGATTTTTTTCCTGATTACAAAAGCATTGATTACAAAGTATGCACGTAGAAATACATAGAAAGTACACTTCACTTTAAAAACCAGCTCTCGGACCAAGGTTGCTACGTATTATGTGTGTCCCTCGCATACTAATACAGTACCATCACTGCTGTATCGTACTATTACTGGGTAAAAATGGGGTTCTATTACATACATTATTTCATCCCATCTGCCACTTGCCCTTTTTACTTGGCATCACATCTTGGTCCCCTGTCCCTGGCTGTCCATGTAGATAGGTAAGGATTTTTATCCTCCTTTTGCAGGGGAATAAATTGGCTCAGGGAAGTTTAGTCACTTCTCCAATGTTACACAGCAGAGTTTTCGTAGCAAATTGCTCCATAGTGTGTTGAAACGGAATCTTCAGGGAGAAGCCTGGCTTGCAGAGGACAGGCCATTTTGGCATTTGTGGGTTTAAAGATGTTACAGGTAATTGACCACCTTCCTGGGCAGTGTTTATTTTGGGCTCAGGATTTAGACAGCAAAGCTCCTGCCCTTCAAGTGGCGCCCTTCCCCGGAGGGAAGAGTGAGGATAAAAGACCAAGCAAATTCATAGCTTGGGACGACTGTAGTTGATGTAAATCCCTGGGAGATGTTTTGAGTTTCAAAATAAATTATAGGGCAAAGAGCGCTCCTCTTTCAAATAATCTGCTTTTGGTTTCCCAGAGGTAGCCAGGAGAGGGGTCCCAGGCCTGGGGCTAAGGGGACAAAGGGGAAAAAGAAGACAATGGGTCCTAAAACTCCTATTTTGTAGGAAATGCTGAATTACAAAATTATTTCTGGCTCCCTGTCATGGGGACAACGCCCCCTTCTCTTCTGTCGGCAGCAAGGGGCTAGTCAGGGACCTGTCCTCCTCCCTGAGAGTGAGGATGAAGTGAGGTGCTCTGCCAGCACAGAAGGTGGGCTCCTCCCACCTTCCTCTCCAGGGCTGCAGGGAATCCCAAACCTGGAGTCCTCAGGGCCTGATTCTGCCTGGCTTCCACCAGAGCCAAGAAGGGTTCTAGAATGGCAGAGGGTAGCCCAGAGTCATACTGTCCTTGAACTGTCTTTCCACAAAGTACATTAAAGTGTCTCTGTTATACAGTTTCCCTAAGTTACAGTAACAACCACTGATGTTACAAAGCTCGTGTCTACTTTACAGCTGTAGAAACTGAAGCTTACAGATGCTTGAATGACTTGCCTGAGGCCTGGGCCGGGACACAAACCCAGGTTTCTCTTCCTCTTTCTGGGGGGAAACCTGCCTGCTCTGCTTCTTTCACAGAGATGTTGTGAGGATCTAGTTACTCACCCGCTTGTTTACTCACTTACCAAAGATTTATGGAGTCGTCGTTGGGGCGCTTGCTGGGCCCCGGGAGCTCAGTGGAAACGAGACAGACACAGTCTCAGCCCTCACAGGGCTCGCATTCTGGAGAAGAATGGAGAGAAATAAGCAGGCACTTCTAGCAGAGCATGAGAAATGATGTGATACAGTGCAGTGGTCGCTTCTCAGCCCTGTGTGTGACCAGAAGTGGGTCTGAGGCTTAAACAGAGAGCCAGGCGTCCAGGCCCCATGCTCAGTTAGTCTGGGATGGGATTGGAATTTGCGAATTTTAACAAGTTCTCATGTGACTCTGATCCACACCAGCGTTAAGAACTACTGCTGAGGGGCAAGAGAGCCATGACAAGAAGAAGAGCCCCTTTTCCCTAGCGCTCCCTAGCGCTTTCCCTATGCACCAGGCCTCACTGCACTTAGTTCTTTCCACTGATTCCCCACAATGACTCTATGAAGTAAGTGTTATATTTGTTTCAGAGATGAGAAAACTGAGGCTCAAAACATGAATTACCCAAACCTGGGCATGAAGTAGATTCAAACTGGGGCCTAAGCTCTAACCAGTAAAGATGGCTGGCCTTCAAAATCAAAGTGAAAGAAATCAGAGTGAAAAACTGCAGAGCCTAGAGAAACACAAGGGTTAACAGTCACATGGAGTCCTTGTTTAAGGTACTTAAACAGCAGATTCCTTCCAGAAGCCACATGGCTGCTTGTGAGAGATGAAAAATCCATTAGACAGTTATTAACGACCAGGTCTAAACCCTTCCAGTGGCCAGAGCCAAGAAATGCTTTTAATACTCTCTTCTCTGAGGTGACAGCAGCAGAGCCTCTCTCAGTCCCCAGTTCTGCACACACAATGACAGTGTGGTCCTCCAAAAACCCACAGAGCCAACTTCATCCCCAGAGATGCCCCGAACCAGACCCTCATCAAACACAAGGAAACGACTTCGCTCTCTCTTCCACCATGACACTTCCAGCCTCCTCCTTGAGAGAGAATTCTGTTGGCAGTAACACCAGCCCAGTGGATGGCAGGTCCCCTCCGCTCAGTGGAGCCCCTAGTCATATCTGATCTCACCAGTCATCTGACACTGCACCCCGAAACCTCAGCTGTTCAAAAGGTCATTCCCCTATTCCTGGCTTGGCCCGGTGTCTGAGTGAGCTGTGCAACTGTGACTGTCACTAGCTCTGCCTCAGGCCTCAAGGAGCCAATCTTCTGTCACACATCCTGGGTGTGCCCCAACCCTGCCACTTGGCCTGACTCCAGTCCATGCCTGAAGCAGTGGCAGATCCTTCCCGTCCCAGGGCAGGAGAGGGGTGAGCTGGAGTGGGCTGGTTCTCCAGTCCTGTCTCTAAGGACATGCTGTTCCTATTTCCCAAGAGGCAGACTGTTTCCCCTGAGAGCTGAGAAGTCTTTCTTTTTTTCTTTTTTGCCTAAAGAGGGAAAAATGATATGTTTCGTTTCATCCATTCATTCAACATTCATTGCTGAGCATGAGTCCTCGTGCTAGCTCAGCGGAGATGTGAGATGATGCCCCTCCCCTAGCAGACCCAGAAAGAAGCTGATATTCCCGGCCTGGGAGGCAGTAGGGTTGAGGGGCTCTCAGGACTGGAAGCAGGCAGGCCCGGGCCGTCCCAGCACGTTCCCTAGTTGTGATCCTTTGGGTATCACTCCCCTCTCTGACCCTCCATTTCCTCTTTTGTAAAGTGGCCCCTCTACTCAAGGTTCTGATAAATAAAAGAGATGTAACTCTTTTTAAAAATATGCAAATTGCCATTTTCAAAGAAAATGAGAAAGTTTTTTTTTTTTTTTTAAAGATTGGCCCTGAGCTAACATCCGTTGTCAGTCTTTGTTTTCTTCTCCCCAAAGCCCCCCAGTACATAGTTGTATATTCTAGTTGTAAGTCCTTCTGGTTCTGCTGTGTGGGACGCCGCCTCAGCATGGCCTGATGAGCGGTGCCACATCTGCGCCCTGGATCTGAACCGGCGAAACCCTGGTCCACCAAAGCAGAATGTGCGAACTCAACCACTCAGCCACGGGGCTGGCCCCAGAAAGATTTTTTTAAATCATTCATGAATGCAGTTTGTGCCTTGCATAGAGTAGGTGCTCATGCCAAGGAAGAAATCCACAAAACCAGCAAGTTGTTTTCATCATGGACAGAAAATGTGTCCATGCTTTCCCTGTTTACTGACTTTCAATTGCACGAGGCCACGAGGATATAGTAGAAGCATCTTTGAGCCAAACATTGGGACCTAGAGTGAGACCGGGGCCAGTTGATCTCTGGTTCTCAGACTCTTCGCCTATAAAATGGAGAAAGAGCGAACCCCCTGAATAATTTCTTCCAGCTCCTGAACTTAGTTGTTTGGAATGTTGCCTCCTTGCTGATTTCTCAACAACACAGGGAATTGATTTGTTCCCAAGAATGGTGGATGGTACCCTCTGTTCCACTGAGCAAATGGGACTTTCCAGGCCTCCCTGTTCCCTTCTCCCCTAAGAGGGAAACAGCGTTAGGCTCTGGTCCACCTTCCTCCTGTCCACTTCCCTCACCCCTTTCTCCTCTCCCTCAGGGTTGGGCCCCTTGCTGCCCTCGCTGCTGTCCACTCTGCGACTGTGCCTGTGCGTGCCAACTTCCTGACTGCCAGAGCCTCAACTGTCTCTGCTTTGAGATCAAGCTCCGATGAGGACCCAGAGTCCTTGCCCTTTGGGGAGAGGCCAGCCCCCAGGGCCCGCATGACCTCTTTCCTGAGAGGCCTCAGGACAGTTTTCTCCAGGCCACTGGAACCACAAATGACCTGTCCAGCTCACCAGCCTGGGAACCAGCCGTGGAGAGACTGGCTCCCTGCAGAGCAGGACTCAGAGAGCCCTTGGCTAGCTGGACTGCAACCCCTTTGGAGGGCCAGAAGAGAGAGGGGCTAGAGCTCTGGCAGGTGCTCCTGCCCTCCTCTCCTCCTCCCCTAGTAAGCTGTTATATTTAAAGTTGAGGGCAGGGGACGCTGCTCACCACAGACAGCATTATGGGAGGAGCTTGGGCCTTGAGTATCAGATGTAGGGGTCTCTCAGCCACACCCCGTCCATGGATCTTGGTTATTTTGAGATGTGAGTGTAGTCTGTGCATCTGCTCTCCATCTAAAGAAACCAGCTCAAGAGAATCACAAGGGCCACTTGTCAAGGCCCAGAGTCAGGGGAGGGGGTACCAGAGGAGGAAGCAGGGAACGCCAAACCATCTAAGTCCTGGTACTGTTCCTTCCCTCCCCACAGATCTCTATCCAAAGATTGATTTCTCTTGACAACCTTTTGAGGGCCTCAGTCTGAATTTCAAGAGAAGAAATTTCTTCTGAAGTACCGGTAAGTGGGCAGGGCGCCCTCCCCCCTCCCCCAATAGGGCAGGCCCACAGCTTCCTCCCCCTTCCCTCAATTTAGGCTCCACGCTGGCGTGAATGTCAGGGGCTTCAGGTTTCCCTAAATATAGGTCCCTACCAGGGGATCTGTGGCTAGGAAAGGGCAGGGGTCACTGGAGAATGTCGGGGACACTGGCTTGGGGGAGGGCTGGAGCTGCCTTATAACCCAGCCCAGGTAGGCACGGGCTCACTCGCTGCTGACCAGGCTCTGCCCGCTTCTTCAGCCTCCTCGTAGGTGGGCGCCAGCAGGACGGAGTGGGGGTGAGGGTGGGCTGAAGGGATCCAGATTAGGAGAGGGGACCTGGCCGGTAAGATGGGCGCCTCGGAAAGTATCTGGGAGGCTGACCAGCTCAGGGACGGATTTTATTTTGGAGAGGAAGGTCAGTCCAAGGGAAACGTTTCGCAGGGACTCCAGCCCCGCATCCCCGAGACTTGCTTGAGGGGAACGGTGACCGGCCAATTTCCACGTCATCTGGCTGTGCGTGGCGGCCGGGGCTTCAGGCCGGTTCGCCCCGGCTGCGGGCGGAGAAGGCGTGCGCGCGCTCAAGGTTGGCCCTCCAAGCCGCGGGAGCCAGCCCGGCACCGAAGGGGCGCGGATGGGGCGGGGGCGCTCGCCAGACACCGCTGCCGCCGCGCTCCCGCCCTCCGCCAACCCCAGCCGCCTCCTTGCGCTCCCTGTGCTCCTTCTCCTTCTCTTCCGCCTGGGCTAGTGACAGAGAGAGGGGTCAGCCCCGCGCCCCAGCGCCCGCAAGTCCAGCCTGCGGACAAGGCCGGCAGACGCCTGACCTCCGGGTTCTGTTACAAAGTGACACGCTCTGCATCAGCGCAGGCCGGAAGCTGGGGCTGCCGCGGGCTGCTGGGCCGGGCCTGGGAGGGCAAGCTGAACCTCCGTCTTCTCGGGCTCTTTCACTCGCTTTTCCCCTACCCCCACCCCCTTCGGTGCCAGAACCCGGCTGAGTCACGGCGCCCCACAGCGCGCCAGGCAGGGGGGAAAAGGAGAGGGAGGGGAGGGCCCAGGCGACCCGCGAGATGTGGGCCGAGTCACGTCCGAAGGGGACGGGGGAGGGATCGTGTTCTCGCTGCTCTGTCTCCGCCCAAGCGCCGCCTCCAGCCTTCGCCTTTCGGGGACCGCCTCTTGCACGGTTCCTCGCCTGCAATTGGACGCCGGGGCCCCCGACTCCCTACAAAGGAAAAAAAACCCACCGAGGGTGGAGCGGTGCTTCTATAAGGCCCGGCACCTCCTCTCCACTGCCCGCCCCGTGCGCCGCCCCCTCGGGAGCTCAATAGGCAGCGTTCCTCTTGGAACGCGCCGCAGACGCAGGGTGCTGGTGACGACTGCCGTGTTCGCTCCCTCACTCCGCTCGCCAGTCCGCCGGCCTCCACCGCTCCACCCCGCAAACCCGCCCCTCTCCTGTGCCAGGTGAGCGCCCCTCGCCACGTGCGAAGGTCAGGGACCGTGGAGAAGGATCCTGGGGGCAGTGGCGGGTCGGGCTTCGGCGCGGAGCCCCTCACCCGGTCCCAGCATCTCCCGCACCACCGCCACTCACACACGCGTGCTCCCAACCCAGACGCCCCCAACCCAGACGCCCCAGCCCTCTCCAGCTTGAGCGTCCTCCGTTTGTGGTGCAGTGCAGCCACGGCTTGGCACGCTGAGTCATGGCGGGGGAGGAAGCAGGACGAAATGAAGAGCCGTTCCCTCTCCCCTTTTCTTGTAAGGACACCGGGTGCAAAAGATTATGGACCCTTTGCCTCTGAAGGGATCCTAAGAGGCAGCGATGGGTGGGGGGCCAGCTCATAGACTGCCTCAGAGTTCCCGAAAGCGGGTGGTTGGTCCCTGCCCTGGGAGACAGGCACCCATGGCGAGGAGGGGAAACCCCTTGGCGGCGCATGATGCCCCATTAACACTTTCCGTGTCTTTCCTTATCGGGTGACCTTGATTATGAGCCTGGAACAGCTGCAGCCGAACGAACAGACGGGAGCATTTTTCAGGGGAAGGGGTGGGGCGCTTGCCTCTCCTCCATTCTCTTAGTCAGTATGAGCTGTGAGAACGGCAAACCTCACCCCTTTCCTCCACCTCGGCTGGGCTTCCTCTGCTACCCTTTCCTGGGCTTCTGATTACCCTCCTACATTTCTCCTAACACCCTTAACACCCTCCCCATATCCCTCCGGGGGCGGGGGGGCTGACCTTGGGATGTCCTTGAGGCGTGGGAGCTTGGCCCAGCCCTGGGATCTTGGGTGGATTGGAAGGAACAGCCCTATGGCAGTCAGAAGATCTGGGTTCTAATCTCAGATCTGGCCCTGAGGTTTCTGTGTGGCTTGAAGCACAGACCTTCCCCTTCTCTGGGTCCTTTCAGATGAGAGGGTTGGGCCCTATGCCTTATGCACAACCTCTAAATTCTACTTTTTTTTCTTTTGAGGAAGATTAGCCCTGAGCTAACTACTGGTAGTCCTCCTCTTTTTTGCTGAGGAAGCCTGGCCCTGAGCTAACATCCGTGCCCATCTTCCTCTACTTTATATGTGGGACACCTACCACAGCATGGTGTGCCAAGCGGTGCCATGTCCGCACCCGGAATCTGAACCGGCGAACCCCGGGCCGCCAAGAAGCGCAACGTGCGAACTTAACCGGTGTGCCACCGGGCCAGCCCCTCTAAATTGTAAAATATTCCAGTTCGGTTTTGCTTCTAGGCAAGGTAACCCCATGGCAAAGCGCAAGCCAGAAGGGTCCAGCTTCTACATGACCAGCCTGTCCATGGCTCTGGCCTATTCCTTTACCCCAGGTGCCAGTACGCAACCCCACCCTCAGCTGGGCAACACCCAGCAACAAACAGAGTTAGGAAAGGTACAGAAGGCAGGCCTAATATAGGGAAGTTGGGCGTAGGGGAGAGCTTGGGACAGGAAGTGCCCCAAGACCTGTGGGTGTGGGGCAGGGGAGGTAGGGAACTTTTGCCCTGACCTCCAGGCAAGTGGCCCTGCTCGTTGGGAGACCATGGGAGGACCCAGCTAAGCAGTTCTCGCCCACCTGTCTCTTCTGCCCAGGAACTCACTGCCACCATGCCTCACCAATATCCAGCACTGACCCCGGAGCAGAAGAAGGAGCTATCTGACATCGCTCACCGCATCGTGGCTCCGGGCAAGGGCATCCTGGCTGCAGATGAGTCCACTGGTACGGGCAGGAGACAGTGGGAGGAGGGCCCAAGGTTGGGGGTGACAGGCTGATCCCCTTATTCTCATGTGCGGCTCCCCTCCAGGGAGCATTGCCAAGCGGCTGCAATCCATTGGCACTGAGAACACAGAGGAGAACCGACGCTTCTACCGCCAGCTGCTGCTGACTGCCGACGACCGCGTGAATCCGTGCATTGGGGGTGTCATCCTCTTCCATGAGACGCTCTACCAGAAAGCAGATGATGGGCGTCCCTTCCCCCAAGTTATCAAATCCAAGGGCGGTGTTGTGGGCATCAAGGTGAGGGGGCTGGGCCTCAGGATATGAGATTGAGATGGATCTGGGGGAAAGAAACCCCGAGTAATAGGCCAGGGGATGAACACTGGGAGCCCGGAGACTTCAGTGGAGTCTGTCACAGATCACCCCTGAAGCATGGATAAGAAAAGCTCGAAACTTACGGGAAGTGCGTGGCGTTTTTAATCCTCGTAGATCCTTGTATTACTCTCATTGTACAGATGAAAAACCAGAAGCTCAAGGCAGTGAAGTGTTTTGCTTACAGAGTTAGGAAATGGTAGGAGCCCATACTCTCTGTCAGATAACATCCCTGTGTATCCTGCGTCATAGGATCAGAGGCTGTAAGTGAAAACATTTGCAAATCATGAGATGCCACTTGAGAGATTGAGTAAAGTTGGGGGCAGACTGGGACTACAGAGGAGAAAAGGGTACTAGAGTAGAGGTCATTTTCCCTGTCTTATGTTGCCCCCACCCCAACAGGTAGACAAGGGCGTGGTACCCCTGGCAGGAACAAACGGCGAGACAACCACGCAAGGTGAGAACTGTTTGGCTCCCTGCCTTACCAACCAGTCCACCCGGGTCAGTACCCCTTGGGTGGCCAGGGTGAATGGGAGCCACCTGCCCCTTCCTCGGCCGTGCTCTGACTCCTCCGTCCCCTCTCCAGGGCTGGATGGGCTGTCTGAGCGCTGTGCCCAGTACAAGAAGGACGGAGCAGACTTTGCCAAGTGGCGCTGTGTGCTGAAGATTGGGGAGCACACTCCCTCATCCCTTGCCATCATGGAAAATGCCAATGTTCTGGCCCGTTATGCCAGCATCTGCCAGCAGGTGGGCCTGCAGAACCCCAACAGGCCACCTCCCACGTCATTTGGTTCCAGAGTGTCAGCTAGCCTGCCTCCCATCTGCCAAGATACCTCCCTCCCTCACTCGAGGGCTTTGCAAGCCGAGGGCTTTGCAAGCATAACACATTGTGTTATGTGGATGGATCTGGAGAGATACCTCTCGCCTACAGTGTGCTGAGGGCTGTGCAGCCATGAGTCTCCATCATGGAGATAAGATCTCGGCCGATGGCTGTAGAGAGCTGTAGGTGGGGCTCTGGGTTAGGAGGCCTCACAGCTACCCTGTTTCTTACCCCACAGAATGGCATTGTGCCCATCGTGGAGCCTGAGATCCTCCCTGATGGGGACCATGACTTGAAGCGCTGTCAGTATGTAACCGAGAAGGTAGGTTGTCTGGCTGCCTGGGCAGTGTGTGGTGGGCTAGGCAGCTGGGCCAGGGTCCCTGGGGTTGACCCCTGTTCCCCCAACTCCACCCCACCCACTTTGGTCCTGCCATGCTCTAGGTGCTGGCTGCTGTTTACAAGGCTCTGAGTGACCACCACATCTACCTGGAAGGCACCTTGCTGAAGCCCAATATGGTAACCCCAGGCCACGCCTGCACCCACAAATATTCTCATGAGGAGATTGCCATGGCAACTGTCACGGCACTGCGTCGCACGGTGCCCCCTGCTGTCACTGGTGAGACCCACACCCTTATCTTGACCTCTAGGAGATAGATAAACTGTACCCACAATCCTTATGCTCACTTGGTCTGATTTCCAGGTCAGCTTCTCGGGGCTCCTACCAGTCCCCTGGATCTCTGACTACACTCCCTCTCCTTGTTTCACCGTTGTACAGGGATCACCTTCCTATCTGGAGGCCAGAGTGAGGAGGAGGCATCCATCAACCTCAACGCCATCAACAAGTGCCCCCTGCTGAAGCCGTGGGCCCTGACCTTCTCCTATGGCCGAGCCCTGCAGGCCTCTGCCCTGAAGGCCTGGGGTGGGAAGAAGGAGAACCTGAAGGCTGCCCAGGAGGAATATGTCAAGCGAGCCCTGGTAAGGATGGGGCAGGAGGCGGGCAGGGTGCTGGGGTGGATGGAATTCTGAGAAGAGACCTTCTTACTCTGGCTTCTTTCCCCTCTTAGGCCAACAGCCTCGCCTGCCAAGGAAAATACACCCCAAGTGGTCACGCTGGGGCTGCAGCCAGCGAGTCCCTCTTCATCTCTAACCATGCCTACTAAGTGGAGGTATTCTAAGGCTGCCCCCTCAACACTCCAGGCCCTGCCTCCTCCCACTCTCACTCTTGAAGAGGGGGCCTCATCCAGGGCTTTAGGCTGTTCTTTCCCATTCTCCTTGCCTCCCTGGTGACATTGGTCTGTGGTATTGTCTGTGTATGCTAACTCCATCACCCTTTCGAGCCCACTGCCAATAAACAACTATTTAAGGGGGAGTCTCTTGTTCATTTCTGTGGTGTCCGGGGCAGGGCAGGGCTGGGGGAGGTGGCAGAGCCCAGAAGAAAGAGCCCTTGTTTTGTGTTCTTCCTTCTTGGGCAGGGAAAAGGTGAAGGGGGCGGGATAGGACCTTCCTGCTTTGTTTTATACTTGCCCAGGGCTTCAAGAGGAGAGCTTGTGGAATTCTATTCCAACCACCAAGTGTTCCACTCCTTTCTACCAGCAGCATCCGATAAGGCTCACAGTTGGGGTGTGTGTGTGTGACTTGCTAGTCTTACGAGGTTGCAGGCTCAGCCTCACTTTTACACCCAGAATTCATGGATGCAGAAGGTCCCTGTGAGAAAAACAGCCACTGACAAAAGCCAAGATTTCCTGAGTTTATGAGCCAGGCAACATAAGTGTCCTGTATGAGAGGTGCTGTTATTCTCAATTCATCCTTAAGGCTACATTACCTAAGACTGCACTGTTTCTTGGTGGAAACAGATTACGAATGCATATCTCCTTAATCTATACTGTTGAGCTTGTCCGTGTTCCCATTTTAATAGGAGATGGGATTAGAACTGGCTTCGTAGTCTTTGGGCTTGTGGAACCCCTTGAAGAACCTGGAATTGTCTCTAACACACTCACTCAACAATACAGATAGACAGGCATACAGAAGTGTAGAGCTCAGGTTCCAGGTTAAGAACTGAACCTCTAGCGGCTGCGCTCCATGAAGCCAGAATGGGCCCTGCACTTAAACCCCTATGCCATGCTTTGAACCCTTCCGCAATCACCCAGGCTGGGGTGTAGAAGCAACTACACCAGGTCTTTTCACCTATTAAAGATTCTAGTCATAACTAAGGACCTAAGTTAGTCAGGCCGCTTCTCACATTTCCTGATATGGGCCCTTTCCTGTCTGAGCTCCCCTCCAGAGAAATAAAAATCTTGACCTTTCTGATCTGTGGACCTACTGAATCCCTATCGTGATCTGCATTGAACTGACTGACCTAGGACCTTCTAGGAGGTTAAGGACTTGGGCCTTGGCTTCTCTGTGCACATATGCATCTGTTGCCTACATCCAAAACCAAACCCTTTCCTAGGGCCCCTCTAAACTTTGCCCTCACTTCCGTGCCTAGCCTCACTCAACTATTTGAAACAAAATCTAACGTAAAGCAAATAAAAATTGAATGTCAGTCAAAAATAGCAAAAAGAACATTCCAAAAGGGCTCAGACACTGAAGTTTTCTTAAAGTTTGCTTCCTCTGCCTGCAGCAAAGAGACTAGGCAAGCAGAAGACTTCACACACTAGGTTGGGGGAATTTTGGACTTCTTATTTTACAGTGACAAAGGGAGCTCCAGAAAGAAAGTGACAGAAGGAGGAGAAACTAGAACTGAGAACGCAGCTTTCCTGGGTTCAAATTTTAACCTTGATTCAAACCCAAAATTCTTAACTATGTAACCACGAACAAGTTAATCTCTGAGCCAGTTTCTCCTGTTCAAAAAAGAAAGAAAAAACAGAAAGTAACTGAGGGGCGTCAAGGGGACCATTCTAGAATTAGGGAGGTCATGTTGACTGAGGCAGAGGCTTGGTGTGGGGGAGGTGAACTCCTTTCTGCCTCTAACTTCGGAGTTCCTCCATGGCAGAGATTTCTCTGGGGCCAGAGAAAGAGATCTGGACTGGGATTCCTTCATCCATCAGCAAATACCCACGTATGCCTACTGTGCCAGGCCTTGTTCTAAGCACTAGGGCCGCAAGGGTGAACCAAAGCAAGTTCCATCCGTCAGGGATTGTAATGGGGGAGGCCGAGTAAAGCTGGTAAACAAAAACGTGCAACATAAAGTTACAAGGCGGAGCCCCGGCTCGGCTTCAGTTTCCCTAACCGAGATGGGACGGGACTGGACAGGGGTCCCTCAAAGCGCTCACAGCGCCAATCGGCTTAGCCCACAATCACTTCCGCTCGTTCGCTGCCGACATCCGGTCCCTTGGCACTCAGCCGTTCTTAGGCTTGTGAGGTAGGGCTCAGGGCGCGGCGGGGGAGGGGGGTGTATATGACGTCACGTCCGGCGCGCGGCGGAACTGGCCTCACTTTGCTTCCGCGGCGGGGCCGGAAGTAGGAGCGGCGGTGGCGGTGGTCCAAATCGGAGGGAAGGAGGAAAGCAGGGAGCCCGAGAGCGGGCGCCGCAGTCGCAGGGGCGGTAATAGTCCGAGACTCCTCTAGGCCACCGTCCTTAGCGCGGGACCGCGGGGTTCGACGGGAGTTAGCCGGGGGCGGCCAGGGTCGCGGGACGCCGGGGGTCCGGGGGCCCTGTGAGGAGAGGCGGGGGTGGGGGCGGCCGGGCCAGCTCCGGAATTGAGTTGCGCCCCCCCCCGGCGTCCCTCCCCCCCGTCCCGGACACTCTGAACCGCGGGCTCGTCTTCGCCCTTCCCAGGAGACCCCTGTGCGGTGCGGAGGGGGCGGTGGCCCCGGCTCTGACCCGCGCCGGGGGGGGCCATGGCGGAGATCAGCGACCTGGACCGGCAGATCGAGCAGCTGCGGCGCTGCGAGCTCATCAAGGAGAGCGAAGTTAAGGCCCTGTGCGCTAAGGCCAGGTGAGCCCGGCGGCCCCAAGAGAGGCCTGGCTGCTGCCCAGGGGTTCCCGCCTGGGGCAGACTCAGCTGAGAACTTTGGGCCTGGCTTATTCTGGAAGCTTTCCCGGAGAGGAGCAGAATAGGGCCGCTTCCCCCGAGGAACAGCCAGCCTGTTGGGGGAAGAAAGACCTGGATAAAGACATATAAAAGTATTAGATGATATATTTTCAGTGGAGTTAGAGAATCATAGAAAGTACTTGGGAAGCTTAAGGAAACAACTGTATCTGTCGAGGGAACGGAGAAGGCTTTTTGGAGGAACTCAACTTTGCGGGTAGACTTTGAAGAATAAGGTGACAAAAGGGAATGTCCGCAAGAACAAAAGCTCAAGGCAGAAGAGGTAAAGACTCTGGTTTATAAGATTGTTTCAGTTCCAAAGACAACTGTTAAAGGTGGGTGGTATTGTCCCCATTTTACAGGTGAGGACTCCCTTACAGCAAGTAAGGAATGGAGTCTGAAGCCAGTTCTCCGTGTCCTGTCCCTTTTCAGGCCATAATGCAAGAAGGTGGAGTAGATCCTTCTCACGTTCAGTGTGGGAGCCTAAGAAATGGTAGAAAATAAGCCAGAGTAGAATTAAGCATGATATGGAGAGGGGCCCAACTCATAGGTGGGAAATAGAATGATGTAGTGGTTAAGAGCCCAGACTTTAGAATGCCGTGGCTCTAGTTTGGAATCTGAGCTCTGCTAATTACTAGCTGTGTTGGTGATCTCGAGGTCTCTGAGACTCAGTTTCTTGATCTGTAAAGTGGGAATAATAGCGCTTCATACGATGGTCGTGAAGAGTCAGTCAGTTGGTGCTTGGGATTAGCATAGTGCTTTGGTACAGTGAGTGCTCAGCAGTCTTCTAGGTGTTATTGTTGTTACTGTGAAGGACGAGGACAATGGTGATAGGAACTGAAGTCATCAGGGAAGGCTTTTAAGAGAAGTTGGTCTTGAAAGATGAAAATAATTTGAGTAGCTGATGGGAGCAGGATGATAGTAGGAGTGGAGGCCCTGAGATGTGTAGGTAACAGCGAGGAGACCAGTTACCTGCCTCCTCTGAGTTCCTGTTTGACTGTGGCTTCCACCAAGGTGAGGAATTGTGGGAAAAGAGCCAGCAGAATTATCCCATATTTATTGAACAACAGGCCTGTTATTAGCCTGGCCTTGTACTAGCAAAGAACTTAGTCCATTTCCTCCCTACAGCAGTCTCGTGAGGTTGGAATTATTTACTTCATTTTATAGAACAGGAAGCCATGACCCCTAGAGGACTAGTGACTTGATCAAGGTCACCCAGAGAGAAAGTGGCAGAGCTGGGTTCTGAACTTGTGGCCATCAGGGCCTGCATGGGTTTGGTGAACAAGCAAGGCCCCTTTTTAAATCCTTGTCTATGGCTTTTCTATGTTTTGCCAGCTCGAGAAAATTTCCCTGACCAGACCCCAAGATGTTTTTAGTCATCCCTGATTACTCAGTCTTGATTGGCATTTTTAGGAACTTAAACCAATTGCTGCCTGGCACCGTTGTTTTTCCAATAAGTCTTCTCTCTCCACAGGGCCTACATCCATTTGTTGGTGGTAGTAGCTAATGCTTGGATAGCATTGTGGAGATTTCAGAAAAACAGAGATGTATTCAGTCTCCATTGCTCTTTGCAGCAGCCCTGTGGAATAGGCAGGGCAGGGGTGAGGGTTTCACAGAAGAGGAAACTGAGCCTCAGAGAAGATAATGTCTTGCCGCTGGTTGGAGGGGAGGTGGGTCTTGGATCCGGGTCTTGCACTATACTCCGTGCTCATTGACAGCCAGGCAGAGACATTTAGACTGTGTGGGAGGCAGTAGGGAGCTATAGCGGACTGAGGGGTGGGAGAGTCTTGCGCAGTTGAAACTGAGATGGAGCTAGGAGGTACTAGGCTGAGGCCTGAGTTGGCCACTATTATCCCAGGCCCAATCTGAAGGGGTGCCAACTCTAGCACCTGGCCATGGCCTCCTGGGGGACCCACCAGGAGTCCAGGCCAAGGCTGGCAGTCAAGAGCTTCAGCTTGCTCAGAGGGTACATAGACTCAAACCTGTGAAACTCTAGAGGCCTGAAGTGTGGGAGTTGAACCTCCTCCTGTTAAAAATGTCAGCATATTTGACATTTTGAATCAGGTGGCCTCCAGTATGAATCCCAGCTTTGTCACCTATAAACAATATGACCTTGATCAAGTCACTTTATCTCTCCAAGTCTTTGAAATCATTATGGAGTTCAAATGAGATTCTGCATATCCAGGACCAGGGCGTGGCACTTGCGTAGGCACTTCCTAAAGATAGTGTTCATTGTGGAAGTCAAGGTGAGCAGATGTGAGCTCTGGGAGAGCTGGTGTTATGCTACAAGTGACAGAGCTGGGGTTGGAGGCTGGGCCTTCCACCATGACCATGCTAGGGCCCTACTGGCACTCAGGTGGGGTTTTGACCCAGAATTTAGAAAGGGCTGGCATAAATTCTCAAGAGATTGGGCTACTGAGGTCCAATTCAGCCATTCTCCAGCTTTGTCACCTTGATGCTGTCCCTTTTTTTCCTAAGCGTGTTTCTTTCTCTGTCAGATGAGGATGAAAGGAACCTCCTCTAGTCAGTTGGCAAGGTCATTATAAGCAGTTGATGTGGGAGGATGTTCAACACAAGATGCAATACAGGTGGGAGAGCCTGCTTGTCTGTGGCCCCTTGGACCACCGCCAGTGCCTCCTCCCATCCCCAGAAAGCCAAGGCATGCCTCCCTGAGCTGCCTTTGTCATACAGAGCACCCTGAGGGACATGCAGGGAGCTCCTCCCCTAGTGGGAGAAAGAGAGGGGCCTGAACCAGTGCTTGGGGCCCTCCCACATCAGGATAGCTGTATAAGAGCCAGACCCTGGAGCCAGGCTGTCTTGGTTCAAGTCCCATCTATATGACTGTGGCCAGTTAACTTCATTTGAGCAGTGGCGATCATCCAAGTGCCTGTGTTTGAGGGTGACTGATGGCATGCCTCATCCATGCAAAGCTCTTACTACAGTCCTGGTGCATGATGTGAACTGGAATGTTCACCACCAGTGTTATCGAGGACGAAATCTGGAAATATGGTACTACTGAAATTGAGTGTCTATAACTGACAAAGTAGTTGTGTGTCATGCTCACTCAAGGAGAAGTAGACTGCACTGCAAGGAGGAATGAAAGAACGAAGTCCTTGCTTCCTCTAAATAAATAATGGGAAAGTAGCAACAGCATATCACTTTGACGGGGAGCACATCTGATCACGGCCTATCACATCTGATGACTAGCCTGCCCAGGGGACCCCCCTGTGCCTTTGGACATTTTGGGAGAAGGCCCCTATGATGGGTAGAGAGGATCTGGAGAGCCCAGCCGGGGGCACAGTCTCAGAGTGCTCCAGGCTGAGAGAGCAACATGAACGGAGAGAGGGCTCTGTGTGGAGAGGAGGGGATAGATTTTCTTTGTGAGTGCTGGCTGCATGAAAGGAAGCAGCAGGGAGGGTCAAGGCCGGGAGAGTCACGTCCTACTTGGGCAGGCTTTGGATGCTGGAACAAGAGCCTGGGCTTTGGCCTGTTGGCAGCCGGGAGCCGTGGAAGGGTGTTGAGCAGTGAGCGCTGTGGTCAGCCTATCCTGGGGAAATTGCACACCTCGCTCCTGCCCCCTAGAGGTTCAAGGACCACCCCATATCCTCCCCTCCCCCTCAGAAAAGTCAGGAATTGGGCTGGGCTGGCCTGGCTGTGGTGACCCTGGTCTTCTCCTGTCTCCAGAGAGATCTTGGTAGAGGAAAGCAACGTGCAGAGGGTGGACTCGCCAGTCACAGTGAGTACCCTTAGTCTTTCAGGCTCCAAAAGTCTACCCCTCATCCCAGGGAGCCCAGAAAGCCCCATGTATCTGTCCCCTCCCCATCTTCAGGGGAGCCTTGCTATAAGAAATGGATGTTTTGGGAAGGGTCTTTTGATTTGTTGGGGGGATGCTCTTGGCCAGGGCAGAAGGACTCTTAATTTGGTGACTGATTCTTCTCCCCGTGTTTCTATGTTTTCTGTGTTATTAGTACCTTTATTCTGGGTTACCTTGAGAGGAGTTGGGAGAGGAGGGCCAGGTCCTCCAGGAGCTACCAGTCTAGCTGGAAAGACCTAGCTCTAGAGCTTGCCCACAGAATAGCTGGCACTCACTGTGGGATGAGGGCGGATTCCAGACCAGGCTAACTTGGGGTGAGAGAGTAGAGTTTGGACCTTGAGAAGTAGAGGCTTAGCCAGGAGCAATAAGGATCTCCTAAAGCAGTGGGTGTTTGAAGGCTAGCCGCTGGGAGCAGAGGCTTTCGGACCGAGTGAATTCCGACCCCCCTTCTCGCTTCCCAGGTATGTGGTGACATCCATGGACAATTCTATGACCTCAAGGAGCTGTTCAGAGTGAGTGTGGGGAAACGCTGGGAAAGGTGACCTGGGGGATTGGCTGGAAGAGCCTTTATTGAGAGTGAAAACTTTGAATTTGGTGAGTGGAGTAGGGGCAGGAGGCCTCTAGTTAGCTGGGCCCTTCATGAAAGACAGGCCTTAACTTGACAGGAAAACAGGCCACCACAGTGGGTGGGGGACAGTTAGGACCAAGCAGAACCTCGTCCTTCCCCCCAGGTGGGAGGTGATGTCCCTGAGACCAACTACCTCTTCATGGGGGACTTTGTGGATCGTGGTTTCTATAGCGTCGAAACGTTCCTCCTGCTGCTGGCTCTTAAGGTGAGAACCCTTGTTTTCTGGAGCCCAAACCTAGGCCACCTCAGGCCTGACCCATCTGCGTCCTTTCTGCCCTCAACTCCTGCGCCACTCAGCCCCAACTCTGAGCTCTGCTGCCGGTCAGGGACAGATGCTGCCTGGCAGGGGGTGGTCAGAGAAGCTTTCCTTGACTGGGGGGCATCTGATTGGGCCCCTGGAGGATGAGGTCAGAGGGGCGGCATTGTAGGGGAGGAATAGAGGCTCACTGTTCAGAAAGTGGCAAAGAGTTGAGTTCAACTGGATACAGTATCCATTGGTGGGAGAGAGATGGTAAGGGGCTAGATGACAAAGCACCTTGAATGTCTTGCTAAGGACTTGGTCTGTCCCTGGTAGGTGGAAGAGAACCCATTAGGTTTGTAGTTGATGGGGCAGGGGTCAGCTTTGCATCCTCTGGAGGAGGGACTGGGAGCTTATGAGGTGGATGCAGCATGATTCAGGTAAGAGATGACATGAATCTGGGCCAGGGCAGTGGTGAGGAGGATGGAGTGGGGCTGGCAGATGTGAGGAGATCTATGCTGGGGAGACAGGTCCTAGACCCCAGCCGTGGCTTGATGGCTACCTCCAGGTTCGCTATCCTGACCGCATCACCCTGATCCGGGGCAACCATGAGAGCCGTCAGATCACTCAGGTCTACGGCTTCTATGATGAGTGTCTACGCAAATATGGCTCGGTGACGGTGTGGCGCTACTGCACTGAGATCTTTGACTACCTCAGCCTCTCGGCCATCATCGATGGCAAGGTAGGCTGGCACCAGGGCTCCATGGGGTTTGGTGGGATGGGAGAGGCCTGGGCCTCAGCCTCTGTTCCCTCCTTTCGTGCTCTCCCCTGTAGATCTTTTGCGTGCATGGGGGTCTCTCCCCGTCCATCCAGACCCTGGACCAGATCCGGACAATTGACCGAAAGCAAGAGGTGCCTCATGACGGGCCCATGTGTGATCTGCTCTGGTCCGACCCTGAAGGTGAGGGCTGGCAGGCGGAGCAGGGGACGGCAGGTTCTACCCTTGCTTGGGGAGAGACTGAGGGAGTCCTGTGCATAAAGTAAGTATGCTGAAGGGACAGTCAGGCGAGGTGCAATTGGGGAAGAGCAGAGTGGGCCGGTCTTCACTGGTCTCTGTGCTCGACCTGCTGCCCAGCCAGCGCCCTCCATGAGGAAGTGGAGCATGGTTAGCTGGGTACTTTGAGCTCAGAGAGGGAGTTGGGGCATGTATATCATGGCCTAGAGGCTTGTTTAGGACAAAACTGTTGGCTCCTTGAATGCGAAGGTGCTTCTGTAGAGGTTAGATTCCCACTGAGGGCCCCTCATTTTGTGGGGTTCCCCAGCTAGTGTGAAACAGAGCCAAGACTGAAGCTAAGTCTCCCAGATGCCAGTCCAGAGCTCTTTCTGCTGTACCACAGTCCCTCACGGCCGTGCCCCTGCCTGGGTACTTGGGCTGGCCAGGACAGCCCTTGTTCACACCTGCTATTCCAGCGTGATGATTGTGAGCACCTCCTTTCACTCTTGTGTGTATCTGTTTGGACAGCAAATTACATGGTCACTCTGATTATGAGGTGGCTCCAACTATCAGGAAATTCTTTCTTCTTTGGAGCTTATCTGCTTCAACATTTGCTGTCCTATCTCCCAGGATCCCCCAGAACACATTCAGGCCCTGTGCTCTTGCCCCGTGGTCTCAGGGAGGGAGGGGGAGAGGATACTCTCCTTCGAAGGGCAATAGACAACCAGAGAAGCCTTGAAGACACCCTCTCCCCATCCGTACCTTTATTTGCTTCAGACACAACTGGCTGGGGTGTGAGCCCCCGGGGGGCTGGCTACTTATTTGGCAGTGACGTGGTAGCCCAGTTCAATGCAGCCAACGACATTGACATGATCTGCCGTGCCCACCAACTGGTGATGGAAGGTTACAAGTGGCACTTCAATGAGACTGTGCTCACGGTGTGGTCGGCACCCAACTATTGCTACCGGTGAGCTGCCTGGGCCAGGAGGTCAAGGTAGGGGTGGGGATCTAGGCTGACACACTCCAACACTGCTGTCCTCTCACTTCCAGCTGTGGGAATGTGGCTGCCATCTTGGAGCTGGACGAGCATCTCCAGAAAGATTTCATCATCTTCGAGGCTGCTCCCCAAGAGACACGGGGCATCCCCTCCAAGAAGCCCGTGGCCGACTACTTCCTCTGACCCCTTTGGCCCCTGTCCCCCTCCAGCCCCTCTGGCCTTTGGACCACTGTGACTCTGCCCTCTTCTCCAGACAGAGGCTGGGCATGGAGGGGTGCTGTCCCCGGCTCTGCTCTCGCCCTAAAGAGGGCACTTCGAGGGTGAGGACTTTCTCTGAAGAGGCTTGGAGCTTCAGTTCCATGCTCCTCCTCTCCTTTCTCCCCAGTTGAACTATGAAGTTTCCAATAATTTTTTTTCGTTTTTGTTTTTAGATAAAAATTTTGAGAAAAAGAAAAGAAAAAAATTCTAATAAAAGAAGAAAAATGGTCTTTGGGTTTGGTCAGACTTGACTGGAACTGAGCAGCGATGCTGCCCTGGGACCAAGGGCCAGTGAGGCCCTTGACTGCACCAGAGCCCTAATCCTGCCCGGAAGGTGAGGCTCAGGCCGGTCAACTTGCCTAAAGCCTCCTGGTCCCCATCCAGTGACAGCGACCTCTCCTGAGGGCTTCCTGAGTGCCAGGTAGAGGGCTGGGTCCTCAGAGGCCTGTTTTAATTTTCAAAACGGTGAATGTCAGGACATTGATTTTCCTGAAGAGGAAACAGGCCCAGATCAGGTTGATTTATGTGCACAAGGTCAAGCAACTGGAAATGGCAAGTCTGGGTCCGGGCCTGGGTCTCCCCACGAAACCTTTGCTCACCTAGCACCGCCCAATGGCAAACACCATTAGCCCAATGTTTCCAGAGCACCAGTGTCTTTAGAGTTTTATTAACAAAAATACTCTGGTGATGAGAAGAGACAGGGTGAGGAGCCCAAGGGTGAGGCCCGGGAGGTGGGAGCGCTGGTCCGACGCCCATTTGGCTAGGCAGAGCCTCCCTCCATTCACACGGAGGTGAGAGGTGAGAGCTGGGAAGGGGAAGCTGGCCCCAGCTGGACTCTCGGCAGCTTAGCCAGAGCTTTGAAGCCAGAGGGGGGTGGGAGTGAAATCAAAGTGTGAAGTGGAGAGGAGAGGCCCAACGCAGCCATTTGGTGTGGGGGATGGGGCCAGTGGAAGTGGGGCTATAGGCCTGGGGGAAGGGAACTGGAGGTTTGTAATGGAAGACAAGGAGGGAGGCAAAGGGGCCTCGCAATAGCTCAGTACATTGGTTTGGAGCCTACGTCGAGGTAAGCCCCAGGTCCAGGGTAAGGTAGGGGGAAGGGGCCCCCTTGGAGGAAATGCGAGGCAAAGGGTGCTGGGGGAGCTCCTGGGTATCCTGAGGCCCCTGGCCCGGGCTGCAGCTCCAGGAATGCAGCTGAGTAGGGGGCTGGGTGCCCAGAGTCTGGAGCCTCAGGGAAGCTGGGGTTCCTGAAGTGGGGGGAGAGGTGTCAGAACGGGAGTGGGACCTCCAGCCTGGAACAGCCCAGCCCTGTGCCCTTGTCTCACTTGCCTGGTTGGAAGGTGACCAGGGGCCCCGTGGAAAGCTGCAGGGTGCAGAAGGTAGGCCTCAGCACTGGGGCCACCACATGGAGGAGCTGAGGCAGGGGCAGCTTCCCCAGGGGCTGGGGCCTGCTCTGGATCTGACTCACGAATATCCCCACCCAATGTGGAATCACAGGGACCACCTGGTGCATCTGGGGGGAGAGAAGGGACAGGTTGGGCTAAGGAGGATCAGCATCTCAGGCCTGTCTCCATCACCATTGGGACTACACTCACCTCCACTCCCATAGGCCTCTGTGGCTACTGGCTCTGGGCCCCGTAGTTTCCTCTTCACACGGGCATCTCGCTCCCTGGGGAACAATGATGGTGGTGATGGTGGTGGTGGTGATGGTGGTGATGGTGATGATGGTAATAACAGCACTTACCAGGTGCCAGGCATTTCACCCTCCTGGGGACCATATCAGGTAGGTGCTGTTATTATACCCATTTTACAGATGAAGGAACTGAAGGCTAGAGAATTAAATGACTAGAAAGTGGCCAAGCTGGGATTTATTTCCCACTTAAAACTTTCCAGTGGTTTCCTATTGCATTTAGAATCAACAGCAACTCCTTCCCAAGCTACAAGGGCAAGGTATGGTCCGAACCCAGCTCGTCCTACCTTGCTCACTGTGTCCATCTCCACGGTAGCTGCCTTTCAGCTCCACTCTGGAATCCTCTTCTGTCTCCTCTTCACCAACTTAGCTCATCCTTCTTGTCTCAGTTCAAGTAGAACTTCCTCAAGGAAGTCCTCCCGACCTCCCACAGCACCACACACCCTCCTTGATAACATTTGTCAACAGTTCTACTTTTACATTTGTTAGGGTGAATAATGTCTGTGTCTTCTGCCTGACTGTAAGCTCCTTGAGGGCAAGGCCGGCTCTGAGGGGGCAGTACTCAGAATAGAAACCAAAGTCTTCACTAAACCTTTACTGTCCAACATAATCCAGCGGGAGCATCACCTCTCAACTTGCCTCTGATTCCACTCCAGCATGCTCCCACCTCATGGCCCTTGCACATGCTGTTCCCACTCCCTGGCAAGCTTTTCCTCATATCCACATGGCTTCCTCCCATACTTCCTTCAGGACCTTTCCAGGCCTCTAATCGAATGCCTCACTCCAGCCCTTCCTTGCTTGCTTTAATCTTTAGAACTTATTCCTAACATATTATATAATATTTTATTTCCCTTGTTTACCTGTCTAGTCTGCCCACTAGAAGAGTATCAGTTCCATGAGGGCAGGGGTTTGGTTTGTTTTGTTCACCGATGCATCTCCAGGGCCTAGAGCTGTGCCTGGCACACAGCAGGTGCTGAATAAGTGTCTGCTGGATCAGTGAGTGAATAAATGTGCTTATTTACCATTGTGTTCCTGGCATCCAGCACAGTGCCTGGCACATAGTGGGTGATTAATAAACATTTGTTGAATGAACGAGTGAGTGAATGAACAATGCCCACCTCTTACAGTTTCTGCCGTTCTCCCGGAAGCCCTTGGCGAAGGGGTTGGCCGCAATCTTCAGTTGTGTGATCTGGGGGCACACATTCAAGGTCAAAGCTCCTGCAGCCTGGGCAGGGCGCCACCACCCCCTCAAGCAGGGTCACTTACCCGTGGGTTCTGGTAGGCTGTCACGGAGATGAACATGGTTTCAGGGAAGCGGAAGGAGGCAACGCCCCCCCAGTGTTGGCTGCAAAGCTGGGCGGCCCGCACCAAGTGTACACGGGGCTGATACTTGTGCATGGAGTGCAAGATCAGCTGGGAGAGAAGAAACGAGAGTGACCCCTGCCCTGGGCCCCACCCCTAACCCCCATTCTAGGGTCCCAGCCTGGGCCTCACATGGCCATGGGGGTCCAGTGTGCTGTTGGTGAGCTTGACACGATGGAAAGACACAGGTTGCCGCATCCAGTGGGCACCAGTGGCAGGAGAGTCAGGATGAATGTAGACACGGTCAGGCAGGCGGGGCTCCGCCTTGCCGCTGGGCTCCCAGCGCCGGCCCTGCCAGCGGTAGCGAGCCCCATCCACTGGAATCACATCGAGAAGAAACAGGTAGCGAGCCTCGGGGTCCAGGCCGGTGACAGATACCCGGCAAGCAGGAAACATGCGCCTGGACAGGGAAGGGGATAGGAGGGGCCTGGAGCTATCCACTGGCCATAGGTGGGCCCAGCATCGGCAAGGGGCCATAGCCACTAGCTCACCCAGTTCTGTCAGAGAAATGTTGAAGGAAGTAGAATCAGAACTCAGAGGGCAGGATCTTAGAGCTGGAAGCTTGTCTCATCCCATTTCACAGACGGAAAACAGGACAGACAGGTGATCTGACCAGGGTTATACAACAGGTTAGGAGCGGAGCCCCGACTCCTGACTCCAGGCCCCTCAAACTCCATTTGAAGAAACAGGGGTGACACATTGTTCTCCCGGAAATCTTGCCAGGGGCCTCCTGCTCTCTACCCTGGCCTCCTCACCCTATCTCCAGCACCAGAATCTACAGCACCTGGACAAATGTGCTTCAGGAGAAAAAAATGCTCCGCCTTCAGCGGGGCAGAGGACTTACCATGCTAGGGCCTGAGCTCCTGGCCTAGACAAAGACCCGATACAGGCTACACACTGACCACATCCTTGCCTCCAGGGTGACCCAGGACCTGGTCACATACTGACCCCTGATCCTGGACAGATTTCCCTGATGCCAGTCACTGGCCGGCCCTTGACTCTAATCATAGTCTGAACCCTGACTCCAGCCACAGACTGACCCCCTGATCTAGGCCACATACTAACCCATAACCCAGTCATACTTTCTGACCCCAGCCTAGACTGACCTATGACCCTTGCCAAAGGTTGGTCCCTAAACCAGCCACAGACTACACAGACTGACACTTGACCCTGGCCATAGAATGACCCAGGCCACAATCACACTGTGAACTTAGGCAGAGCTCTATTCCCCCTAGAAACCCTCAAACCTAGCGCCATCACCAGGAACTCTGCCGTTCCCAAGAGACCCCCACCAGGGACACCCTGGGTCTTCTGATCCTGGCCTAGCGCCCTCACCTCCCAGCTTTGGTGATGATCATCTCTGTTCCCACGGAGTTGAACTCTTTCCACAGCTCCCGGTTCTCCAGGCTCAGGCTGACGCCAGGGAGTGAATGAAGGGCCTCTGGGGCTGGTGGGGCTGGCTCAGTGCCCAGGGCTGGGGGCAGAGGTGGAGGAGCAGCCAGGGTGCGGGGAGCAGCCTCAATCCCGGAGAGGAAGCAATCCAGTTTAGGAGTGTCCAGATCTGGAGATGAGAGGAGAATGAGGAGCCAGCCAAGGGCCACAGCAGCCCCCTCAATCCGCACACAGGAGCTCATCCCAAAGCTCACCGGGATAGTGGTAGCCCTCTGCCAGGGCGGGTGGGAAGTTGGAATCTGCCCCAGGCTGAGGGGGCCCAAGGCGGTAGCCAGTCCCCAGGGAGGGGTACAATTCCCGTGGATGGTACATGGAGTAGTCCTGTTTGGCTTCAGATCACGCTGCCTGGAGTCCCCCACTGCTGAGTGATGCCCCCTTTATAGCTCACAGCTCAGCCTCTTCCAGACCCAGGATCACAGCCCCTCCCCTCTTTGGGGCCCTGGAGTTGGGCTGGGGTGGAGACCCCTGGGGCCTGGAAGGGGTCCAAGAGGGGGCCGGATACCTGGGTACCCTCCCCTCCCCCCTCCTCCCCCCAGGCTTCATTAGCCCCGACCCCCTGCCCCCTCATTACATAATTAACTCCTCGGCCTGATTGATCCCCCTGGGCTCGGACAGGGATGCAGTTTGGCGCTTCCGGCCAGCTGGTCCCCGTTCCCACGGGGGGAGCCCCGGCTAGGGATAAGCTACTGAGGGGCGGGACCTGGACCCTGGGATGGAGACCGGAGTCCTGGGACAGATCTTGGCCCCCAGACTTTTCTGGCAGGTGACCTCCCTTCACTTGGAGGACAGGGCTGGAGGGACTAAGCATGACTGGAGGGAGGGAAAGAGCAGAGCTGGAGGGACGCGGCCTGAGCTTGTTACGCGGGCAGTGGGGACCTCGAGGAGTCCGCAACTGAGGCCTAAACCCTGCAGTCTTTCCTGCTTCCTATTCTGAAAAACCTTCACCCTCGGCCAAGTCTCAAAAGTTTAGAGGCGCCCACAGCTCGACAGTCTCTGGCGCCTGGGTTTCCCAGAAGGTCCCGCGCTGAGGCGCCCTCGGAACTACACTTCCCAGCAGGCCCAGCGCCGAGGCTCGGCGCGGAGGAGACAGACACTTGCCGCTGGGACCGCTGGAAGTTGTAGTTGAGACGAGAGGGGCGGTGAAACTGGCGGTGCGGTGGTCTCGCAGGAGCGCTGCCCCCAGGCGGCGGCAAAACGCTAAGGCCGAGAAGACGCAGATCAGCCGAGGTCAAGGCCTAGGGAGCCCAGAGTGAGCGCGGGAATCTCTACCGGCAGTAAGACAAATCCTGGGTCCTAGAGAAGATGGCTGAAGCCAGGCCCCAGGAATACAGGCCCCCAGCTTTGACCGCCGTACCTACCCCCGGCCCCGTCGGGGCTCAAAAAGGAACAGGTCTATAGAGGCAGGAATCTGCATGGAGACCCACTTTCCCGGATTCCACATGAGCCTGGGCTGTCTCCACTCCATTGTTTTATTATGTACAAACGCTACAGAACAAGGGGAGCAGACGCGCCTGGGGTAAGAGGGGCCCAGTGGGAGAAGAAGTTCACAGGGCAGATGGTGCACTGGGGCGAAGAGAGCAGCACGTAGGCCATATCTATAGGGCAGGCGGGGCAGGAAGGGGTTAAAAACGAGATCCAAGCCAGCCAGATCGCGGGGAGGTGCGGGGGCGTCGTCCACCTTCTGAGCTCCCCCCCCAAGGTCACAGTGCATGCAATAAAATATATGTACAGGAGCTGGATCCTTCCTCTGCAGAGGCCTTGAAGGTCCAGAGCTCCCTTCGTGTGGAGGGAAGCCAGTGGCGCCCCCTGGCGGCCAGGCCGGGCTGGAGCCACATGCGGCAGAGGCAGGGGTCAGTCCCAGCCGTTGTCTTTGATCATGTGGTTGAGTTCAATGATGTACTTCCCCTCTTTGTACTTCTGGCTGCTCTCAAAGGCCTGTTCCTGGAAAGAGGGGAGAGGCCGTCACTCTGGGGCAAGGGTCTTACCAAAAGGGATAGGGGTTGGGGAGTGGATATGATTGGCCCCATTTTACATACGGGGGAACTGTCACCAAGAGAAGCCAAGCCACTTGCCCACAGATACAAAGCCGGTAAATGGCGGGGCCAGGTTTCTCACTAACAGGGGACAGACAGAACTCTGTGAATCACAGGTACTTTTTAAGTACTAATGTTGGCTCTCCAACAGAGAGGATATGGCTCCAACAAAGATCCAGGAATTACAAACCAGTAGCCTGAGGGCCAGTTTTGGCCTATACCTGTGTTTTGTTTGGCCAACAGAGTTTAATAAAAATAACTTTAAAATACTAAAATATAGGCAGGCCATGCTCACTCCAGTCTGCCACAACCATCCTTCCTCCCCAGGTCTATGCTGCCCCTTTTGCAGATCCACAGTATCTGCTTGGTCCCCCAAGAACTTGAGTTTTTAATCTCTGGATTAGGCCACCTCTTTATTTTACAGAGGTCCACAGAGACCAAGCCACCTGTCTGGGGACACAAAGCAAATCTGTGGCAGGGCTAGGGGTGAACTCAGGTCAGGGCTGTCTATCTGCCTGTCTCTTGCCTGGGGCATCCAGAGATGCCTCACAGAGGCATCACAGCTCCAAGTGACACCTCAAGAATCCTGTCCCTTGCAGTTTCTCAAGAGCATCTTCTTTTGTGCCATCTAATCTGATCCCCATAACAATCTTGGATGCCAGGTAGTGGCTGTATCCTCCACTGCCAGATAAGGAAATGAGACTCAGGAAAGAGAAATCAGACCCTGGACAGCAGCAGTGGCAATGAGGGCAGGGGAAATGGAGGCTCAGAGACCCAAATTCCAGGTTGCTGTGGGATCTTGGGCAATTTCTCTGATCATCTGAAGGGCAATAGAAGCTGGGGGTCAAGGGTTTGGAGTTAAAAAACAAAACTAGAATTCTGGTCCCTATTTTGTTACTTACCAGTTGTGTGACCTTGTGCAAGTTACCTAACATCTCTGGGCATTCCTTTCTTCTTCTGTAAAGTGGAGATAAGAATAGACTCTACCTATAGGATTGTTGCAACGATTGAATAAGATAATATATGCCAAGCACATAACAGTGCAGGGCACATAAGCATTCAGTACATGGTAATTCTGATTATATCCTCATCTCTAAAATGGGGATGCTTGTGCCTGTGAGGAGAGGGATGCGTTAAAGGAAAAATTCTAAAAGCCCTTGCAGGATGCGAGAGAAGAGAACATGGTCAGAGAATGAAAAGATAGTTTTACTCATGTGAGCTGGGCCTGTACACTCTGAAAGATTACCAGATGACTGCTTGTGATGAGGAGGTGATGTGAGGTCAGGTCAAAGGCTAGCCTGGGGTCAGAGGTCACTGACTCACATATTTCCAGCCCAAAGTGGTCTTGCAGTTCTCGCAGTGGATGTCAGCGACAGCATGGAGACCTGTCAGCAGCACCCGCTCCTCGGCTGGCCCGCAGCCCACGTTCACCCTGCGGGGACATGGGGGCAGTCCCAGGGAGGGTCCCGCCATCAGAAGGCCCCCCTCTATCTTGTATCCAACTGTGTCTGTCCTTAGCATCCAAGAAAAGGGCAATAACAGCTTCCTGCCTGAACCAGGGGACTCTAGGAGTCTTAGCACGATGCCAGGGGTCACAGGTCACAACAGAGGTCAAGGAAAGCAAGAAGGGAGGCCAAATACTCACACAGAGTTGAAGAGATAGGCACGCCCCTGACTGCCCTGGAAGGACTAAAGGTTGGGAGGGAGAGAAAAGGGGGGTCAAGTCTATTGGTGGGGAGCTTTCAGGCAGCCCCTCTAGCCTCCCATTCCAGCCCCAACTGTGACCTGGTTACCTTGGAGATGAGGTCGTCGTGGTTGGCCAGGTGAGCGCGGCAGTGGGCACAGCTATACCTCCGGTGACAATCATCCAGGTAGGCCTGAAACGTCTTGGGCTTTGAAATCCGCACCATGGCGGGGGCCGGGGGCAGTGGCCCCACGCGGGGAGCAGCCCAAGGGGAGCAGAGGGAGCCCAGTGCCTGCAGGGAGGAAGTGAGTGGGCTGTCAGGACCTGGGCCACACACATACAAGCACACCCAGGGCCACTGGGACTCTGTCACACTTGGCTGCTGTCTCCTCTCCCCAGAGCCAGCAGCCTCTCCAGGGGCTACTACCATCTCCGTTTTGACTCACTGAGGAGGCCTGGAGTTGCATCGATAGGGAAACTGAGGCTAGGAGGAGCACAGGATGAGTCACCCACCTGCTTTCAGCCCCACCCCTGCTGGCCTGGCAATTGAAGTCGGAGGAAGGGGCTTTAGCATGGATGAGCCGTCAGTTCTTCGTTTAGGGGGAGCATGGAGGGGTTAGGAATTGGATGGTCCCTAGGACCTCATCTGAACTGCTGGGCAAAGGGGGGGGGCTTCATTTGAGGTACAGGGAGTTCACCTGGGGAGAGGGTCCCTCACCTGGAGAAGGCAGGAGGCCTCAATGAGAAGAGGGGCTCTTATCCGGGGACGCTGAGGCCTTGTCTATGTCGAGGAGATCTTACCTGCATCGAGGAACCTTACCTGACACCCCGGGGCTCACCTGGAGCGTAGGGGTGGGGGGCGGGCGCCGGGGGAAGGGGACAGTCCTCGCTGGCTGGGCGGGGGCGCGGGGCGACGCGCAGCGCTGACGATGCGGGCCTCACCTCGCCTGGGCGCGCGGGGGCCCGGTCCGCCGAGGTGGCCTGGCCTGGGTGTGGGGGGCGCTCCTGGTGGGCGCCGTCCCCCCCGGCCCAGGATCGCAGCCGCCGCGACTTGTTTACACCGAGACCAGCTGCTGCCGCGGCTGCGGCGGGAGGGGGAGGGGGCCGGCCTTTGGTCCCGGCGGCCGCCGCGGCCAATCGGCGCGCAGCATGCAAATGAGGGGGCGCGTCACACAGCGGCCGGTGCGGGCCTGGGCTGCCCTTCCCCCTGCTCCCGGCTCCCGCCGGCCCGGAAATGCGGCTGCGGCCGGTAACCCGGGCGGCCGGCCGCCCTGGCGTCCCGCGGTCCTTGAGGGGGCAAGGATCTGAGGTTCCTGACCTCGTGTGGGTTTAGGAGGAGGATGGCGTTTGGACGCACGCCCCCGGGAAACAGTCAACTATCTGCGTTCACCCGCCGCCGGTGCCCCTCTCTCTTAATCCCCGCAGCAATCCTATGAAGCAGCTTCTGCTATTGTTCCCATTTTTACCGGGGAACTGAGGTTCAGAGAGGTGTAGCGGCTCTCCCGAAGTTAACCAGCTAGTAAGAGGCAAAGTCAGGATTCTCACTTTTGTCTGATTCCACGGACTTTGCCATAGCACCAGGCACAGACTCTTGGAATGGAAGAGCTAAAGGTGTCCATCTGTGTCATTCCCCTGGGAGCCAGAGCCTCAGAACAAGCCAGCTCCTACTGTGGAGCATCACCTCCTTCAGGCAGCCTTCTCTGTTGTCCCTGCCTTCCAGGCAGGGTTACATGTCTGTTGTGGTCTTCCTCCTTTCTCTTTCTCAGCTCTGAACTCAGTTGAAAATGTCTGTTTAAACACGTCTGCCATACTAGTCTTGTTCCCTGCAGGGGCCCCACTCCCCAGCCTGGCCTAGAGTAGTCAATAAACGACTACTTTTTGTGAAATACGTCATTCATTAAATGAATAAGGTACGCAGGCTGGAGAGGGCTGAGGAATTTGGGGTCTGGAGTAGGAGACCTGGGAATGGAAGGTTGGAATGTCTGAGGCAGCACATGGGCGCTGTCCCAGCCAGCCCCACCCTCTGCAGCCAGCTGACAGGCCCACAGGGGCAAGTCAAGCCCCTTGCTGTGTGCCTGGGGCTCTTAGTGGCCTCAGGAGAATGGAATCATTATCTGTGGCTCTGAAGGGGTAGGGGGCCTTGCTCCTGCAAGGGACATTCCTGAGGAGAGTGGAGGCCAGGCTGCCACAGGGTGTGGTTCTACTCTAGGTCTGGAATGTGGTGGAACCAGTGGGTCAGGCTGGTTAGGGGCCCAGACTCTGGCCCTAGGCTGGCCTCGTCTGCCCTAAACTGCCATCTTTGCAGTCTAGGATCTCCCCAACTCTGTCCCCCAAGCACAAAGACATGACTGAAAAGAAAATATTTATTGGGGAAGAGAAATAGAAGAGAGGGAGAGGGCACCAGGCTTAGGAGGCCCTGGCAGCTGCTCGTTGGTTGTCCAGGTAGCGCCTCAAGGCTGTGGGGTAATCGGTCATGACGCCAGTGGCCCCCAAGCTGAAGGCCACTTCAAAATCTGACTCTTCATTAAGGCACCAAAATATCACCTGAGTGGGGAGGGATGGGCTTGTAGTTTCCACACAACTTTACCTGGAACTCCCCCTTACATCCAGATGGTGGGAGTTCTCCTCTGTGGAGAGCCCCCAGCAGTGGTATGCTGAAGTAAATTGCTAAGTTTTCAGGAATTTTGTAAACTGGTTATTAAAAACAGCCATTATTAAATACTAAATTATATAAATCTACAAGTCAATAAATTATATTAAAAACAAAGGTAATAGATCCCCAAAACTCATCACTTCCTAATTATTTTACTACATTTTACAATTACCTGTGCTCTGGAGGTTATGTCTGTTGAATGTATAAGATAGAAATACTATATAATGGTGTGCTTCTCAACTCTGTGTTCAGTGACCTCATGTTGGCAGCCTGAAATTGGCCACTGTGGGAATATATACAGCAGGAAAATTATCCAATGGTCAAATTAGGGTGCTGTGTTTTTTTCCGGAGAGCCAGTTGCGGAAGGTTTACCAGTGATCAGTGCCGCCCAGCCTGCCCGCATCTGCCGCGGCTCTGCATCTTCCTGCCTCCTGAGTCCCCTCTTGTGGGTAGTGAGGCAGGCAGTCGTAGTATTTGTACCCTGGGCAAGTCACTGGACCTCTTGCTTTCTTAATGTGACAAATGAGAGTGACGGTCCAACCTCCAAGAGCTGTGAAGACCCGCAGAGTGAGAGGGCTGATCGGAAAGACCTATGTCATCCCCAGGCCTCCCTCGCCCCACATCTAATCAGTGGTCGAGTCCTGGCCTGTCTGTGGGCTAACTCTCCCATCCATCCCCACTGCTGCCACCCAAGCCAAAGTCCTGTCACTGGCAGCCTCAGCCTCCTAATGAGACTCTACTTCCACACTGGCCCCACAATCCCGTCTCCACATGGTGGCTGGAGTGACCCTCACTCAACAAACCTCAACTGGATCTCTCCCTGCTTAAGCCCCTCAAAAGCTTCCCCTCCCTTTGGGCTGAAGTCGAGGCTCCTCACTGAGGTGCACCAGCTGCCCGCCTCGGCCTCTGCTGCCTCCTCTAGCGCCCCTTGCGCTGCTTCCTCAACTGCAGCCTGGCAGAACCCGTCTCAGTTCCTCGGACTGCCATGGCCTCTTATTCCTCCTGGCCTTCCCACACGCTGAGCCTCCTACCTCCTACCATCTCATGCTCTTCCTTTCCCCTCCCCATGAGCCAGCTCCTCACTTCTTCCAGAAGGCCTTCTCTAACCCCACACAGCACTGTTTCCTTTCTGTCCACTCATCACCCCCGCGATGACCTTCCTCATTTCCTTCCTCTGCCCTTGATGGTAAGCTCCATGCTCTGTCCCCGGTACCACAGGGCCTGGAATGCAGTGCGTTCTCAACAAAGGTTTGCTAATTAAATGACCTGGTCAAAGCTGATGATGCCCAGGAGAGAGGGAGGCAGTGGGCTGGGCTGGTTTTTCACTTCTCTGCTCTTTCCCCTGCCCCTCTCATCAGGGATCAGGACACTTCAATACATCAGCAGCAGCAGCATGGCTGACATTTATCAAGCCCTTACTACGTACCAGTTACATATCCAGAACACTTAAATATACCATCATCTCTATTTTACAGACAAAGAAACCAAGACTCAGAAGGTGACCTCCCCAACTGCCCCAGCTAGTCAGTGGCAGAGCTATGATTGGAATGCTGTGCTAGGCCCGTGCTGAACCGCGCACTTACGGGGGGCGGCAAGCATTACCTGCACCCCTCGCTGCTCCAGGTGTTGGATCAGACTTTTCCTCATGATGAACCTGGTGGGGAGAGGGGTGGCAAAGACCATGATGAGAGGGGACCAAGGAGAAGGGCAGTGGCAGGGCCTGTGGGGACACTCCACCCAACCTTCTCGCCCACCTCACCATTTGGAAAGCACGGCAGCCAGCTGGTTCAGCCCAGGGGAGGAAAATGGGAAGTAGGTCCTGTGGAGAGGTGGTGGTGTAGTCAGCCCCTTGGGGGTCTCTCGGTCACAGGGGTGGGTGGGGTGGCAGTGACCCCACCTAGTATAACCCTGCCCCCTCTAGAAGAGCCTTCACAGTTTCCCAGAGGACAATTCACCCATTGTGCAGTGAGATCCTACTCCCATACCCTTGACTCCATGCTTTGAAGGTGTGCCCCTTGCCTCACCATTTTACAGAAGAGATAACTGAGTCTTTGAGAGCTAAAGTGACTTGTCCAAGGTCACACACCAAATCCATAGTGGGCCAGGACCACCAGCACCCAGCTTGATTCCCAAGCTGGACATGGAATCTGGAGGTCTTCCTGGTTGGGCTGGTCCAGCTTTCTGAGACCAGACAGTGTTTAACGGATTGGCTACTTGCGCCAAACTGTCCCACTCCAGGGGTGACTTTAGAGGCCCTTTACAATGTCCAAGGGCAGGCTTCGCTGTGTGACCTTGGACAAATTACAGAACCTCTCTGAGCCTCCCATTCTCCATGGTACTATGGGGGTCATGATTCCTGTAACCTGGGGGTGCTACAAGGTAAAACTCCAATAAACTAAAGGATGTAAAAACACTTTGTAAACCATGTATAAAAAGTTACGTAGGGGCCGGCCTGGAGGCGCAGCGGTTAAGTTTGCACACTCCACTTCGGTGGCCCGGGGTTCGCCAGTTCGGATCCTGGGTGCGGACATGGCACCGCTCATCAAGCTATGCTGTGGTAGGCATCCCGCATATAAAGTAGAGGAAGATGGGCACGGATGTGAGCTCAGGGCCAGTCTTCCTCAGCAAAAAGAGGAGGATTGGCGGCAGATGTTAGCTCAGGGCTAATCTTCCTCAAGAAAAAAAAAAAGTTATGTATACAAAATTTTGTAGTACAATGATGTCTTGGTAGCAAGGGATTGTTGGGACTAGCAAGGACAACAGAGGGGAGCAGAAAGCGCTGGGGGCGGCCATAGAGTTCTCAGAAAGCAAAGGGAGGAGCCAGGCCTGAGAGCTGGCGAAGTATCCAAATTCCTGATACTTGACCCAGCTGTTACTTTGTTAATCCTTGTCTTCCAGCGGAAAATGCTTGCTTTTCCTTTTGAGAATCGGAGTGATGCTATAATTAATTAATAGCTGTCTCCCCTGCCAGACTGTAAGTTCACAGAGCGTCTTACCCCACCCACACTGGTCTTATTTACTAGTGTAACTCCACCTGGAACAGAATAGGCATTCAATAAATATTTGTCAGATGAATGGATGAATAATAACTCTGTCCCAAAACTCCATCCACATCAACACACATTTTCATAGAATTACAGGGGGTTCATGGCCCCCTTAGTATTCATGAATGCTGGGTGAGAACCAGTGTCTTCAAAGTACCCTGGGGGTTATCCTTGAGGGTAGCCAGGGAGCTGGGGACACCGGGTCTCCTGTTCCAAAAGGGACCCTGTCCAATGGGGTTTGAGGTGGTGGGTGTTTTTCTGAAGCCAGAAACAGCCAGAGGTCTGGGAGAGGATGAAGAAGGGAGACGGGGCCCTGTGGGTACCTGTTGATGATGGTAGGCAAGAAGCAGATGAGGAACCTCTCAGGGATTGGGATGAAGGGCAGCAGCCCCAGGTAATAGAGCAGCAGCAACCGGAATCCTCGGCTTATTGTGAAGGAGAACGGCATCTCGGGGTTCTGGGAGGCAAGGGGAAGGAAGAAGGGGGATCAGTCTCTCCTGAGGAAGCAGAGGAGAGGCTTGGCCTTCAGGGGAAACAGTTTTAGACATTCAGGAAGCCCAACCATGTGCAGGATCAGAGCCCCGTCTGGGCCGGGTATTCTGGGCCTAAGTGCACTTGCCCGTGCCCACCAGCAGGCCTTTGCTCACACACTTTCCCCACCACCCCACTTCTCCCAATCCTACTCTTGGAGACCCTACACAGGGCCAGTTCCTCCAGAACGCCCAGGCCCCTCCCAGCCTAGGCCTCTGAGGCTGGGGGGAGGTGGGGAGCAGGGAGGGAACAGGGACTCACGGCAGCCCTGCACTTCTTCATAATTGAACTCTTCTCCGAGGCCCAGATGGTGATTTCACAGCGGTCAAATCGCCTCACCAGGCCTGCTATCTGGGAGGAGGAGGAGGAAACCAAGGGGAGAGTCAGGCTTCTCTCCAGCCCTGAGCCCCGCCCGCTCCTGTCTGCAGCACCACCTTGTGAATGAGCTCTACATTTTCCCCTTTGACCTCCAAGCTCATGGGCATCCGAGGGAACCTCTGGAACACGTCCTCCAGACGTGTCATATGCCGGTCTGACCCATGTGCAAAGTGGCCTGGGGGGTTGTAGAAATAGGGATCAGAAAAGGATTGGTGGGATAAGGGTGGGAACCCAGAGGGAGGGGGCAAGTCCCAGAGAAGAGAGGGCAAGAGGTTGACGCCATGACCCCAGTGGGGCTGGCTCAGCCCTGGGCTCACAGCCCATGGTCTCACCTGGTGAGAAGTACACTTCCAGCTCTTCCTTGTAGAGGGGCAGCTCCTGGGGAAAGCAGGGAGCATGTCACCAGGACGCATGCATGGAGGCGTGGTGGCTCTCTGGGTACAGTGAGAGCAGGGCTCACCTCAAAGTCCAGGCTGCCCACATCCCTATTTACACCTGACTGGCGGGACAGGTTCTTATCATGTGATACCACCACTACGCCATCCCGTGTCAGCTGGCAGTCGAGCTCCAGGAGGTCTGCTCGCTGGGCCACGGAGCTAAGGGAGCGAAGGTCAGTGGTGGGAGGGGGATGGGGACGGGCCAGACCGTGGGGTGGTGGGGAGGTTTGGGGAGCGTGGGGCAGAGTTCAAGGTGGGATGTGCAGGCTGTACACCACACACCTCCAGGGAGCTCCAGTCACTCAGATAGGAAGTGAATGGCACCCTCTGGTGTCATGTAGTGTTCAACTAGCACAACCTTACCCGGCAGCTGGGCCAGGCAGGTGCACTCACTTCTCCATGGCCTCCATGGTGTTCTCCAGCCGCTCTCCAGATCCTGTGTGGGGCAGCTGGGGTGGGTCCCTGGGGCCTGGCCTCCCTCCTTCCCCCACCCCTGCCTCATCACCCCTAGTCAGCCCAAGTTGAACTTTTTTCCCATTCTACATCCTGCTCCACCACCCTGCTCCACTCCGACCTTGGTCTCTGCCCTCTAACATCCCACCCCTTGGACCTGCTGTCTACCGTGGCTCCTGTCTTGCTATCATCACTCCACCTTCAGTAGCCGCTACCCCCTCATCCTACCCATGCCCAGCTTACCTCCCCGGTGGGCCCCTAGGCGGGGAAAGAAGGCTGGGACCCAGGGTGTGTGCAGCAGGTGAGGCCGGCGCAGGAAGTACATGGAGATCACAACATAGCTGCCCAGGGCAGGCAAGGCGTAGTACAGCAGAGGGCTCATGGCCATGCTTCCTCTCCAGGCACTGACTGCAGTGAGCTCAGCTGTTCCCGATGGACTATGCTGCCTCTCTGACTGCCTTGCCGATATAGGCTGGCTCCACCGCTGGCTGCTACCACGCCCCTGGGACCTGCTGAGCCTGCTGCTGGCCTGGGGCCAGGCTGCAGGGCTCAGCTGGGGATGAGGTAGAGGCAGGAGCAGAGGCCAGGCAGCTGTGGCCCTCATACCCCGAGACCCTTCACAGATCCCAGCACCCCTCTGTCCTTGGCCAGAGTGGGCAATCAAGTCCCCCAACACCAGATCTGCCATAACATTCCCCCTTCCACTGGTGTGTGTGGCCAGGGTATACAACACACTGCCCCTTGCCATTTCCAGAAAATGCGGGGGGGGGGGGTGTAAGGTGCCCCTGAGTCAACCCCAAATCACCCTCAGCCTGTTAGACGGGAAGCCATCAGAGAGGGGAGAAAACAGTGACTAAAGGGAAAATTGACTCCACTCTGTCCAGGAGTCTGGAGCTCCTTACACTGCCATCCTCAACCCTAGCCAACTGGGGAGCCAAAGGTAACTAGGGCTGGGTGAAGCCACAGACGGGAAGCAGCTGGCCCAGAGAGTCAGTCCTCAAAGCAGCAATGGTTAGGGTCAGGGCATCGGCGAACACAGAAAGAGCCAAGGCCATCATCCACATCTCTATATTTATATATTAGATACAGGCACAGGGGGTGGGCAGGGGCACTGGGCTCTCCATGGGCCCCCATCTCCACTTCTGTTCACCCACACACAGAAGCAGCGGGGAGTGTTAGATGGGGCAGCTTTGGGAAAGGGGTTCAGGTCCAGGCCCTACTCCTCAGGGATACTAGTCCTTGAGTCTTAGGAATGTTCCTTCAAGGAAAATGGGGTGGGGTTTTAATGAGGTGAGTCAGGCAGGGTTTGCCCTGAATCCCTACTCAGTGTCCCTCATTCCCCATCCCCCACTGCCCCTCAGTAGGTCCCGGGGCAGCCAGAGCTGTGTGATTCCAGAAGTACCAGAGACTGGGATAGCTGGGGTAGACGAAGGCAGAGCAGCAGAGGGGAATTGCTTTGGGGCCACCTGAGCCTCTCAGGTCCTGGGAGTGGGGGGGATGGAGGGAACCTTGGCCTGCCTGAAGTGGGAGGCCTGAGCAAAGCAAGGGGAGGGGGCCAGGCCCACCCTCTTCCCTGACCTGGGCTGCCGGGGTCTGGGCTGGGCGCAGTGTCCATTTTCTAACAGTCCGGCAGGGGAGGGACAGTCAGGAGGCAGGGCCTAAACAAAAAGGCAGGCCGGAAAGGAACATTAGCACCCACAAGAGGACCTGCCAGAGCCCTGACCTCAGAGTTCTCATTTCATCCTCACAGGTAAGTGGGATGTGTCTCGGTTTCCTTATCTGTAAATGGGGATGACATTAGTACCTATCTCAAGGTACTGCTATAAGAATTAAATGAGTTAATACATGTCAACCTCTTAGAACAATGCTTAGTGCTCTGTGTTTGCTCTCCTTATCAAGACTGTCTCCAGGAAACAGAGGCAGAGAGAGGTGAGGTGTCTTGTACAATATCATGGAGCTCTTATCAAGTGTCAGAACTAGGGTTTGAACCCAGGTGTGTCTGCCTTCCTTCTATCAGGCCACAGCTGGCCAAAGACAGAGAGGAGACTAGAGGAGGAAAAGAGGGCAGTGTGTGTGGGTGCAGGCACATCAGGGTCCCCCAAAGGTATGTGAACTGCTGACCTGGGCACCAGGTGTGAAAAAGCATCTGGGTCAGGCTGGGTGCTGCTGGCTCCTCCCACAACAATGACTGCCCCACCTGCCTCTCTGCCCATACTGGGAGAGCCAAAATCTGGCTCTGTTCCTCAGACAGGTGAGAGGGGCCATCAGTGACCTCCGAGGGTCTGCAATGGCTATTGGGGCTGGAGGATGCAGGGTGTTAACAGGCGGGAGACATTTGGGGCTGAGATAGAGGAGGAAGGACATGAAGAACTGGCGGACCTCAGGTCTGGGCCTGGGCAGGCTCTGGGCCCTTCTGTTGCCACCATACACATGGATCGTGGGCGTGAGCAAGCTTGTGACTGTATGGAGACGTGTTGGGGACCCTGGTATCAGGGTGAATCTGTGCGTGGGCGGTGGGGAGCACTCACCAGGCCCCAGGGAGCAGAGGCATCTGTCTAGGTTAGGGGGCCTCCAGCACCCCAGGCTGGAAGCGGGCTGTTTCCTGGAAGATGAGCTCCTTCAGCCGCTCCTTTGGTAGATCATCCAGCTCCATGTCAAAGGTGAAAGGTTCTTCCGCCACTGGCTGGGGTGGCAAAGAAGTAAGGCTCAGGCCAGGTACTGAGGGTGCCTACCCATCCACCTATCTGCCAGCCCTGCTCCTGGTGGCTGACCCACCTCATCCGTTGGGTCATAGTACTGCTCCAGGTAGGGGTGAGCCAGCGCTTCCTCCACTGTGATCCGTTTGTTGGGGTTAAAGGTCAACATCCGGTCCAGTAGGTCAAGGGCTAGTGAAGGGCAGGAGTCAGGGGTCAAAGGGAAGGCCAGAGGAGCTCCCAGAGGCATTACTTTGTTTCTCCATGGCCAGGGGCTTGTCTACTCAGGCAGCTTCTGGGCTCACGTACCCTCCTGTGCACCTAGTTTTTATCCCACATCAGCCCCCATGTTTCTCTCACCTTTGGAGTCTGACTTGGGGAAAAGCTTGGCCCAGGCCACCTTGGTCTTGGAGGGCAGAGACTGTAGGTAGTTTCGAGCCTTCATGTTGATGATACAATTCAGGTCCTCCTGGGATGGGGAACCAAGGATACCTGTGGGTAAGGCAGGTGATGGTGAGAAATCTCCTCTCCTTTCTGGGAACAGAAGGACCGAGGAACAAGAGCCCCCACCAATCAATTCCAGGCCCTGACAGTTCCCGCCCAGCCAATACTATGGTGGTGAAAAGCAAGGGGTCTGGATTTGGGCAGTCCTAGGTTTAAACCCCAGCTCCAGCACTTCCTAAGTGTGGGGTGTAGACTTGCTTTTCCCATCTATCAAGTCGGGATGGTATCTATACCTCACTGAAATACTGTGAGATGCTTTACAGGCTCCATACGTGATGGTATCCCTGATTCAATTCCTGAAGACTCGCTCACCCTGACCCTAAAGAAATCTCACTTCTGATAAACTAATCTCCCTCCCACTCCACTGGCCAGGCCCCTCTCACCCAGAATGTGGTTGAGCTGGTCCAGGTAGTGCTTGCCAGGGAATATGGGCCGGTTGGAAAGCATCTCAGCCAAAATGCAACCCACAGACCAGATGTCGATGGACTTGGTATAGCCCTGGGGAGGAGGAGAAAGTGGTGGGCTCCTGGACCAGCCTCAAAAGGGCCCTGTTGTTTGGGCCAAGCTACCACCCCCAACCTAGATTCAACGACAGCCAGGAAGGCAGAGGGCAGAGGCCCAGAAGAGCTAATGCTCAGCTTCTTTCCAGAGCCCAAGGACTAGAGTAGTGTGACCAGGTCCAGGGGGTAGACTTCCTGCATCATGGGACTCAGTGCCTGGCTCAGGGGTGGCTCCAGCGCTTTCTAAAAGGGATCTGGCCCCTTCCCTTCAGAGGTGGTGAACCCCATACCTTGGAGTTAAGCATGATTTCTGGGGCCCGGTACCAGCGAGTGGCCACGTATTCTGTCAGGAAGCCGGTGTGGTCGTGCTCAGGATCGGCGATCCGGGCAAGGCCAAAATCGCAGATCTAGAATCCAACCCAGGCTGCTAAGCTTGGTGTTCAAGGCCGCCCCAGCCCATGTAATCGTATTGCCATGCCTCTGCCCATGCTGTTCCCCTTGCTTGTGATACTCTCCTACCCATGGGGGCTACTGGTCACCTTCAAGCCCCAGACGCCGGGGGAGGAGGGGACAGGCACCTAACCCTCTGACCTTAAGGTCACAGGTGGTGTTGATGAGCAGGTTGGAGGGTTTTAAATCCCGGTGGAGCACGTTGGCTGAGTGGATATACTTGAGGCCCCGAAGGATCTGGTAAAGGAAATAGCAGATGTGGTCGTTGCTCAGCTGCTGGCTTTTGAGCAACTTGTACAGGTCTGTCTCCATCAGGTCCTGCACAATGTAGCTGAGGATGGCACCGGAGACCCCCCGGGTGGGGGTAGCAGGAGGCACTTGGTTAAGAAGAACAGGTTCTGGTGAGCAGGCTTCACATCTCTTCCAGCTGGCACCCCTGGGACTCACCAGATGAGCCCACCCACATGAGGGGCTGGGCAAGGCCAGTGCTCAGCAGCGTGGCTCAGGGCCTCAGCTGATGACCCTGGGCAAAGCACTTCAGCTCTCTGGCCTCAGTTTCCCTACTGGGAAAAGAGGGATAATAAACTGCGGGAGGCAGGAGAACTGCACCGTTAAGAGCAGTAGTTCTGGAGTTAATCTGCCTGTGTCTGAGATCCCCACTCCACTGCTCACGGGCTTCAGGACCTCAACCTGTCTGCACCTCCATTTCCTCATCTGTAAAGCAGGGGGAAGAACCGTTCTTGAGAGAGTAGTTGTGAAGATTAGAGGAAATGACCTGTGTAAAGCAGCCAGCCCCGTGCTTGCCACATTGTAAATGATCAGCAAACATGAACTGGTATGGCTATGGTAAATGCCTGAGCCACATGGCTGTTGAGAAGGTTAAATGAGATAATGTATGAACATCATCTGGCATGCAATAAATGTTTGCTTAAAAATAAATGCCTGCCTTATGGGAATGGTTTGTGCAAGACAAATGAGGAGAAACTCCCAAGAGCACACTCCTACTCAAAGAGTGCTTAGACACACATCAGAAGATGGAGGAGTAAATGTCCTTTTATATTTTAGGAGAAAACAAAGGTTAAACATAAATAAATAAACGTCTTTTGGCTTGTCTCTGAAAGAATAAGTCAGGATTGTCGTTTAGAATCAGCCTCAAAAGGGCCTTCTGAGAACATCTGGACCAACCCTGCTGTTTTACAGATGAAGAGGCCCAGCAAGATGCAGTGACTTGGTTACAGTCACACAGCAAGCTGGGGGTGAGCGTGGAGATTTCCTGCCCACAGTTTGTGGTGGGGACTGCAGACACTGCAGTACAAATCCCCACTCTTGGGTGGAGGACTGGGAGTGAGGAGGTGGGGGTGGGGAGGTGGCGGGTGTTACAAGCTGCTAACAACAGAGCCAGGCAGGAAGTGGACAACACGCCAGGAAAGCGATTTGGGGAGAGGGCTACGAAGGCAAGGCTGTCCCTCCCTGGGCAAGGTTCAAGTCCACAGGTAACTGGGGTGGGGCTCTGGGCAGAAAGTCTCAGAGAAAGAAGGACAGGTTCTCATCTAGGGGAGGGGAGGTGGCAGCGGCAGAAACACTTGATTTCAGGCCTTCTGAGCCTCAGGGTGCTCATCTTTGAAATGAAGCTGATTGA